TGACTGTAGAGTCCACCTTTATTATCTTTTTAAGCTACTTGTAATACTTATTCTCCTGCTAATGAAGTTTTTCTAACAGTGCGCTAACGATACCGTAATATATTGTAATGCAAAATTACTTATTTATTAAAAAAAATGCAGTCAAAGGTATCCAAAATAAAAGTACAATTGCGGTATAAAAAGATTTATAAACTCTTATTAATTGCAATAATGATATTATAGCGTAAGTAGCTGAAATACAGATAATTAAAAATAAACATCTCACCAATGAAGCGAGGGAGAGCCCTTAAAATGTGTGAGTAAACCGCTGTTTAATTTTTTTTTAGCACCGGCATTCTATGACCGAGCCTCAAAAGCATTTTAAACCGCTTAATCTAAATTCCCTTCGTGAAAGTAGCCACAGGGGTACGCTCCTGGAGTTTGATAGCTGCCCCAAAGGACTGGTGAAAAGTGTAAATATTAGGCCAGACTCCCTCCATTTGTCCTAGAGTAATGGATTACCCCTTAAAACCACTACCAGGGGGGGGGGCAACAGCTACAACACCCGAGTCATCTAGAAACAATTCAGCAAAATGTCGGCAAAGTCTCTTTAACTACCGCTATTCCTCTCTCATGCGCCTTTGCAACCCAAGTTGTGATCAGGTCTGTAGTACAACTGTAGCAAAAAGTGGTAAATATTTACCTTTTAATTAAGGTGATAGCGTGTGGCTATCCTTGTACTTAACATACTAGGAGAGAAGACAAAAATAGACAAAAGTTTTAGGTGTCTGCACAACCATATACAATAATTTACAGCCTAAAGATTATGAAAGAGGGAAAAATTTAAAACAGACAGCGCTACGGGAAAAGATCGGTATCTCACTGTTAGTGAGCCATACTGCGTATTTGTCATATGGAGTAATGTTAGCAATACAAATACCTTTTTACCCTATTGGCCGATTTATAGCTTTGGTCTTCAAAAGGTAAACACTTCAACTCAACCTGGGCTTCTAGTTCTAATTCAACATACGAAAGTTGTTCTACTCTATAAAAAATATTTTACTAAAACTTTCCTTCTTAAGGTGGGCGTCCACTTTTTGGTTAGTTGGAAAATCTGATAGCAGTATATTTTGCTTTCCATTTGAATCTCCTATTAAAATATTAATTGGCAGAAAAAACTGGTAAATGTTTATTTAGTTTGGTTCAAATATTTTAATCTGGTACAGTAAAACTTAAATTAATTATAAAATTTTTTCTGATTAATTGAAATTCTGTTTCTTTGGCAACCTCGAAAGGTTTTTTCAGAATTTTCAAGTTGTGTTAGTTAGGTTTGTTTTTTTGGTTCTTAGTTTTGCTTCCCAGTATCTTGTGCTATATGCGGTGTAAATGTTTAAGTTCGTGTAGAATATAAAATTGTTTTTACTTTATTTTACTAAACATGTATGAGGGTAGTGTGTTCGAGGTTTCTTTTATAATTATGTCTAAGGTTAAATAATAGTTGCTTTTTTCATGCTACGATATACAAAAATGATAGAATAATAAATTAAATAATGTTATCTATCAAACAAATGACAATTGGCGAAATTAACTAATGGGGAATTATCAAAAAAAGTTTACTTTCTTTAAAGAAACCAAGTATAGACGCTTGAAAGGAGGAGTACCCATAGGAGCAACATCGATTAAAGATCATGGACTCCTCAAAAGAAAAAACTGTTACTAAGTTATTGACCATTAGAATCATAGAACATTGGGATAATAGCATGACACACGGGGGATTATTTAGGAAAGAAAGTATAAGAATGCATTCAAAGTAAAAAAGCAATACATCTTACTCATAACCTTTTTAATAATGGTATAAGTAATATTAAAAAAACACTAATCTAGGAAATACAATAATATAAAAACACATTCACAACATAACTTATTAAACATAAAAAGCAAAAGCTTAACCATTAATAGGGATAAACTAATATTTAAAAGAATTAATTCACATTTATAGGAGAAGGAATAATTTGAATTTAAACAACTATAAAGTTTCTATTAATTAATATATTTTGAAAGAAAACATACAAAACCAAGGGCGCCGTAAAACACAAAACTTTGAACCCCTTAATCATAAGTGTTTGAAAAATTGATCAATTACAACTTGTTTTACACCAATCAGAAATTCTAAACAGATACATAATTAAACAGTATTCGGAATCAGTTTAATACAATCTATCAGTATTTTGGGGTCTATTAAAAATAGGCTAAATATTTTGAAACAAATTGACCAGCAGTTAACTTTATATACCGAAATATGAAAATATTTTTATACTTTTTTCTAAAGTTTTAAATATGACCTGACCGACCAGGAAATATTGTATTGATGATTTAAAGTCACCTGAAATTATACAAGCGGCGTTGGTTACGCAAGGATTTCTCTTATCACACTTGCTTTCCCGCTTATTCCGCGCGATGGTCTTAGGCAAACCACACGTGGGGCGCCTTACACTCAGACGATACGAGGATCTACTCGTCAACAAAACCACTTGCCCTACAGCTATCTACTCACACTCACCAACAGGTGTTGCCGACGGAAAATTACTGTTAACGCGAACAAAAGCAATACCACTGCTGTTTATCCATCATATTCGAGGTTATCGTTCACAATAAGCAGACTATATAGCGGATACTGGAGATGGTCAAGCGGTGACTTAAGCATTGTTTTCTCTTCTTTACGCTAAAAGCAAACTCTCGCTACGCAAAAAGAAATGCTTTAAATGTAATGTGTATATCTGGTCAGTTATGACTTATGCTTCTGCTCCTCGCTCTATTACTTGCCTATCAATAGTGTTCTTGCTTGCAGTGAGACAAACAGGCTACTGCTTTTCATGACGGGCGAGCCATAGTTAGTGCAAATTGATAATTACATCAAGACCTCCACTTAAAGTTACTGGCTACCGTTTTCAATGCAATGCCATCTCGTCTCCGAATAAAGGAATGAATAAACAAGCACACTTAAGACTGCAGAAGGGCACCGATGTGACGGCTGACTTCTGTTAAAATTGTTATTTAGAGTGAAATTTGAATTTTTCGATGAGTTAAATAAAACCAAATTAGTTTGTGTACCGCTTTACTTGTCGGTAATTAATGACTTTTAAATTCTTATTAATTATATGCTATCTGTAGCTAAGAGAATATAATAACAATTTGAGAAATTAAAGCAGCGTATAAATGCAGCAAGAAATCTTCTCCGTCATAGATATTTGAAAAAGAAATGAAATATATTTCATTAAAACCCAGACTGGGCTAAATTTTTAAAACAGATAAGTATAACAGAAATTTTTTGATTGTATCATAAATGTTTATTTCTTAAGAGGTTGTAATAATTAACGTATAATGTAAGCTACTGTGTTTATGATATTTCCAAATGTTTGAAGCACGTGCTCGTGTGCAGGTGCTCACTGTAAAGGTCCCACAAGCAATTTTAAGTTTGGGAAGAGCCTGCGCATTTTGGGGATATAATGTATTATAATTAGTAGGCTATTTTTTTTTGTTAACCTTCGCTGCCTTTTTATGAGAGAAGGAAGAGTACCCTTTAATGCTCCAAACATTTTGAAGATTTAAGTAGAAAAACTTGCCAATTAAAAGTAATTTTTGGAATATAGGGAAAGGTGTAGAAGAGATACGCTACCTAAAGAACGCTTTTAGTACTCTCTATAACCATTGCTATTATTATTTATCTCACAAACAAGTTTTAACATATACCTTTAAGATAAAACTATAACCTGAACTGGGGAATAAATAACTTTTTTAAAATTACATGTGCAATGTCATGTACATCAAGTCCTTTAAAAACGGAAGTCAGTGTTAATAGCGATATATATTATACGGGGCCATCCAACGGTTTTTAATGCCTTCCTCCTTTTTGCCAAACTTTATTTTTCCAGAGCTAGCTAGTTGCAGAGTTAGAAGCTTAAACGATATAAAGTGTCTTTATTATTTTTACTGGGTTAAAAGCTTACATGCTTATAGCGCTGAAATTTCAAATTCCTACAGTTATTGTGGACTGCAATTTAGTAAAAATAGCATTTATTTGAACTCGAGTCAACTTAATTACTCTTTTGCGAGAATGAATGGATATCCTTATCTATTAAATAATGTTTATTTATTAAAGGTTAACTGGAAAACTAAATTAAGCATAGGTAGGCTAGCTCCTTTTGGCATTATAAGAAGAATATTACTAGATCTTAATGTATGTTTTAAACCACAATTTTTTGAAATTTTCAAGTATACTATATATAAATTTTGTGAAGACCTTGAATTCCGTAGAACTTTATATATTGACTTAAAAACTCGTAAAGAAAACACTTTTAACATTAAAGATTGTTTTCGGCACCTCAGGTAATATTGACTTTTTCTTTGACTCGTATTAACTTTTTTTGTTAATTATTTTGAAAACTTTATATAAGAGGAATTTTTAGACTTTTTGACGTGTGTAACTCCTCTCTTATGAACTTCGGATTGGAAAATTATACCAGTTCATCTAAGATAGTTTCCTTAGCCACTACTTTAAAAACTGAAGACAAAGAACTATTAACTTCTGGGCTGCAAACTTCTAAAAACATTGAGTTATCATTTGAAAATCAAATATTATCAGCCACAGCTTTATTTTTTAGAAAGTACAAACCTATTGAAAACTGCCAAGAACTAAAAAACTTGGAAACGTACAATTCTGCCATTATTAATAGCGAAAATGCTTTCGTTGCGGAAGCGATATTTTTGGATATCTTAAACTCGGCATCTGTATATCCTGACGCTTCTGTTTTTACTAATCTTTTTCACGTGTACAGCGATGATAGAACAGTTACTGTTGATCGTTTTGAACTGCTTTTTAGGTTATTAGTATGGTGCTTTATGTACATTACTTTTTCATTTCTTTTTTTTTCAGAATTATGTCTCATAATTTTAAGATAGCCCCGCTGAAAAGTCATTATAAGTTAATTATTGGTTTTCTTTCTCGTAATAAGCTTAAGGAAAAAGCCGAACATTATTTTAAACTAATGGTTAAAAGTGGTATGTGTCACTAGGGCGACTTTAGATCTATTTTACAACTTATTAACCCACCATAGGCTTAAGTCCTAGCCTCAACATCCACAGATTTATGCTTACTCTCTATGAGGACAGCCCTCTTCAAGTTAAAAAGATATTTAACGAATTAAAGCGGAATGGAGTTAAGCCTAATGAGGCTATATACAACCTTGTCTTGAATATTCTGGCTAGAAACTTTGACTGTAAATCCGCTTTTCAAGTTTATGAAGAGATGCTCCATAGGAAGTGTAGAATAGCAGTTCCTAATTATATTCTCTTAATTGAGGCTCACAGGTACTAACAGTATAAGAAATGTTATAACTGTAATAATTATTCAAGACTTGTTTATTATTTGTTTTGCACCGAATGCTGTTTACTTAGTATTTTTTTTGTTATATACTTCAACTTACTTGCTTTAACAGATATCAAACAGAAAGGGCAGAGCTTTTGTTTACGGCTTTTAAAAGTAGTGTTTTGAAAAGTTCTGAGCATGATGGTGAAGACGCTGCTAAGAAGACCCGGTGCAACTTAGTGCCGCCGTGGCACTCGTATTAGAAACCAATCTCATTACTTTAGGGCTCCGACGGCAGCCTATAACGCCTTATTGTCTGCCTACTCAACCGCAGCAATGCATGACAAGTGCGAGGCTCTGTACAGCGAAATGCTGGAGAGCGGCATCTGGCCTAACGTCTCTACTTATGCACTGCTTATCGGCAGTCTAAAAGAGAAATGCGACGTGTATAAAGCGAGAGAATACTTCTTGGACATGATAAATAGGTTTCTTCCCTCTCTCTCGCTTAGCACGTAAGCTTTTAATTTGTGGCTTGCGTTTTGCAGGAATATCAAACCTACAATGAATGTGTACAAAACTTTGTTTAAGATACACGCCGAAGCACCAGAGAACACTTTGGCCAACGCACTATATGACTCGCTAATTGAGAGCGGAGACTTCCAGCAACCGATCGATAAAGAGATACTGAAGTTATTAATTCTAGCAAATAGTCGCTGCGGTGACTACGCTAAGGCCACTGCCTATAAAAACTTGTATGATAACCTCCAAGACGGGGGGGTTAATAACGGAAAAGGTCTAGACGAGGAGGTCATAGAGGCTTTAATGTTCGCCGCGTCACGCAACATAGAGGGCGAAATGGAGATGCTTAATTACTTTGAGAAACTGCACGAGAAGTCTGCCTACAGTTACGAAATAATTATACAATACTACATCAACAAGCAAAACTTGAATAAAGCTAAAGAATACTACTTGAGAATGACGATAATTGGTTTTGAATGCTCTTGGCAAGTTCGAAAGTACTTTAGTGAATCGACGTTGTAAATCACCACAAAGGCATCGTATCTAATAATTTGTCTCCGAGAGAGACCCATCGCTTGGGGCAGGATCTGACCAGCTCGACTCAAAGTCCCTTGCTTTCTCAAGTATATCTGATGGGAAAGTATTCGTTACGAACCAACGGATACACAGCGGCTACTCACCGAGGATCTCATGGTAAGCAGATATATTGTCGGGTCCGCCGCTCTCTTTGGAAGAATCATCTTTATGTCCGTAAATAAAGACAAGTTTCCCCACTAAAATTAAGTTATTATTTAACCGCTTGCCGAGTTTTCAGTAGCTTTGGATAATTTTTTTTTCGCGTAGTCTATGATAGTAAGACCCGCGGAATCCTTGTGGTCAAGTTTGGCGCTGGTGTTCATAAAGTACTGTAATAACTGAACATCCCCCTAAATTCATATATTAGCAGCATTAATTACTTTTTCCCGCGATAAATTAACCTTTTTTACGGCGGCATAGAGGATGCTTCGCCCCTTAATATCAGTAAGAGTTATATCAAAACCCCGTTTAATAAATTCATAAGCAATCTTAACGGGCACTAACAGGATATTAATGAATGTAAGACAACGGCAGCTGAGCTAACGTATACTCGGTTCTAAAAGTTCTGCTGCGTGTAGTGGTGTGCGCCCCAACTCGTCACGGGCGTTAACGTCCGCCTCGTGCTGCAAGAGTAATAAAACGAGGTCTTCGTTTTCGTGCTCTGTCCAAATTCCGCGAACTGCGCAATGGAGCGCCGTATTGCCTCTAATGTCCCGCGCGTTGACCGATGCTCCGTTCAATAAAAGATACTCGACACCCTCTTTCCATCCTATTATTAAAGGTCCAACAATTGAAGTTAAAAAAGCTTTGGAGTTGCGTACAACAGCAAGTTAAGTTATATGGAGAGCAAGCTGCTCATGATAGTTGCAACAACGACCGTGTAAAACACACCTCTTGAAGCTGCAAGGTGAAGGGGGGTTATATTTTCAGGGTCCATTACATTAACCGCAAGTCCCATGTTAATAAAAAGCTTTAGTGCCTCCAGTTTTTCTGTAAAATAATATATCATATTTTACTTCACTTAATTGAAATATAAAATATTAAAAAATACTATATTGCGCGGACACGTGAAGCAAAGTTCTTCCGTTTTCATTGAGCAGTGAGCGAATATCATGCCCTTCCAAGCTTTGTTTAACCGATTCAAAGCGATCTATAGTAACACTTTCCTCACGAAAACATATCCGCGCGTAATAATAAATAAAAAGACCAAATCTAATATCCACAGTCAAGTTATGCACAAAGGCGTTTTCAAACTTCAACTCAGGCTTAAACGCAATAGGGCGCCCGGTAGTTATGCTTTTTAAAAAAAGTCGATGGTGTCTAACAAGCGACTTTGCAGTCTTCCGCAGCACTACAATTTTCCTATATATACTCTTTTTCTCTTCCTCGCGAGAAATCTTTAAGTTTTCAAAAAGTTTTTTTAGCTCCTCAACGCTTTGTTCAAAAGCCTCCTGGGTGAGTCGTTGATTAACAAGTAAATTCATAACACCTTCTTTGAAAGAATTTTCTAGAAAAACTAAAGATTCTTTATGCTTTTTAAAAAAAATTTTAAAGTTGTCATTCTTATCAATAAAGTCAACGCTACGTCGGAATTGCTGCAAATACTTTAGGCACAAATGAAACGTTTTCCGCTGCTGTATATAAATTTGGTCCAATCGAGAGGTGATATATTTGTAATTTTCAGTGGTAGGTACACCGTTTCCCGTCTTATAGAGTTTTCTATAAAGGGGTTACCATATAAAATCTATAACTCTATAAAGCAGGCTGTAAAGATATCACAGGGCACTATGAACTACCACTTTCAAACTGCTCTCGTTATCATAGTATATATTTCTACTTTTGCTAAATAACTTAGCTCCTCTGAACACCTTTTAAAAAAAATGCTACCCACTAATACTTAATTAAAACCGCTTAACTATAAAAAATATCATACATAGAGATTTTAATACTATAATAACGTAATATACATACCTGGAACTTATGAGAAATAGAAGCAGTAACAATGTTGCAATAAAAAACAGAAGTTTTGGCTCGGCCTCCAAAAGAGAAGCTTGAAAGAAAAAAAGAAGGTTTTTAAAACTAAAAACCGAACGATCATCCTTTGTGAGCTTGTAAAAGTAGTAAGCCTCTAAAGCATTTTTTCTATTATAAAACTTATATTTCAATAAATATATAAATTGAATACTAAAACATATGAACCGAATAACACTAAGTGTCTCTACCACAAAAAGAGGGAAATCCCTGCAGACTTCTACGGTTATTAAAGAGAAACGGAGGTAGTAAAAAGTCAAAAATTACAATAATTAAAAAAATACTTAATTACTTGTGACTAGATTTCCCAAAAAATAGTGAGTATGCAGCCACATAACCTACATTTATATTTTCAAGTTTAAAGGTAGCTTTTAACATGCGTGACTTAAAGAGGATTTAATATGACGCTGAGGAAGAGTGGAAGATTAACATATGCTTATGATTTGTGATCGCTCACAATGCTCCTCCTGGTAGTTATAATATTTGTACAAAACTGATTAAGTATCCTAGCGACTGTTGCTAAAGCGGGAGCAAATGCAGCACTTTCAAAAAATATTTAATGGTTTTAATTCTAAACCAAATACAAATTTGTGACTTTTATAAAGTTAAGACGAAAATATTTTATGTTAATGACTGATATTTAACATTTAAATCCTTACTTACCCAGATAACCTCATGTACAGCTATTTAACTTGGTACTAATACATGTTTGCTTAATCGATTAAGCCAATAATTCTTAACATAATCACATTTTAGCAGTTATCTATTTAATCTTCTCTTCTTTACTTGATAACAAACAAGTGATAAATTCCAAAGTTAAAAAAAACCGCAAATTATTGTACACTGAAGAGGAGAGCCCTAGACTAAGTAGAAAATAATGGGTAAATTAATTTCCACTTATAGCAGTAGTACTTTCAGTTCATAAAGGTATTAGTCTAACAGTTTTTGAAAAATAGGATGTTATAAAGTGTCCATTTCAAGTACGATATAATAAGTCGAAAAAGTAAAGAAAAACAAATTACTTGATAACCATTTTTTTTTTAAGGCTTTTGCGATGCTTAGTAAATCGAGCGCAAACCGCTGCGTCTAACTGCCTCGAAGGACTGAGAGGTGTATTAGGCCCCAACTACCGCTATTCGATCTAGGGTGGTGCAAAACCGCTAGAAACTACCATGAGGAGAGGCGGCCCCTAACCTAGACCCGAGCTTTCTAGGAGATACCATGTGCCAATTATGTTTACCTCAAATGTAGTATAAATTAAACCTGAGGTCAACCAAAAATATAAAAAAAGATTTTAAAGGTGGTACAGTGATTCACAAGCTTACCCTGAGGGCCGAACCAGGAAAAACTGGTCTTGATTCTCGTCAAAGGCTTATGAACACAATTTTTCTTAGGCAAGTGTTTCTTGCATACCCATCCTAACCGAAAACAGGCTGAGTATATCTCTCGTAGTATATTACAGCTTCCCCCTTTCAACTACATAAAAATAATAGCTAAAACATTAATTGACCCCTAACTTATTAATATCTTTTTCTCTGGATTGAGTATTTAATAATAAACTAATAGCTGCTACCATTTTGCTTCTCCGTAAAAAGTTTTAGGTATACTTAGAACATATGGTATTTAAAATATTTTTTATTGTTTGAAAGTTTAAAAGGGATTAATCCTTAATATATGTTATTTCGAACCTAACCGACCGTAATAGCGAAAATTTATCTTACTAATTAGCGATCAGTATTTTTCAAAATTCGTAGCTTTACTCTTTCTCATTAAAACGATAATTTCTTAAATTATTAGCTGACTCTTATTTTCCCCATTTATACTTGGACTCAGAACAACATTCTTTATGCATACATTCTTTTTGAACTACAGAGTAGTAAAGCCAAAGTACACCAAACTTATTACTATTTTTCGAAGTAAATGATAACACCACTCATTAGAATTTCATACTTTACCTTCAAATCATAATATTGTCTCGCATAACGATTCAGGATTGCTGAGATATCTATTTTTTTATTATATTTCTCAAAATTATCCTTAGCTTTATCTTCCGTAGCACCGACAACTTGCTCGCTATCTCCTACGCAGCCAAATAGCATATCAAAATTTAATGAAACATACATATTTATGACACACCTATTACATTGTAACACAATAGTACAGTATACACTACACCTGAGACACAATTCAAAACACAAGATACAAAAACACGTTATAAGGAAAACATAAAACACATATAGAAAAAATAATTAAACATAGATTACAAAAACATATATCGTATAATTCATTAAGTATAAAGTACACAACAATAATACACATAAATAAACACAAAAATGCAAGCACACTATAAATTTTCACAGAAAAATGATTCCGTGATTAATCCAATCAGATCTGAGAAACCAATAAAACAATACAAGAAAAGAGAGTATTGCAACACAAAAAAATTTAATTTGATGGCTTTGGTAATTAAATAAAAACTAAACGAAGTAAAATTTTATCTGGTTCAAAATTTACTCTTCTTCCACAGAAGCATGTTTTGGTCTTTTTTAAAAGTATAAATACAGACCAAAACTGATCAATATTAGCCCTTGATTTAAAAATATTTTTATGTACATTCTTTTTATACAAACTTTGATACACTATTTGTCTGTTATAGCAGTTATATATTCGTCGAAAATCACATCTTATGCTACTTTTATTTCAAAGCGATCTTTTACTATTGTTTTTTTTTTTGATTGTCTGAAAGCTCGGCCGGCACCACCATTGCTTGAACTTTAGTTACGCGTTACTAATAGTAATATTTTTTTAATGAAAAATATTTATTTATTCATTAGTAAAAACTAATTTTTTGTTTATTATAAACTTTATTAGTATATTTCCCTTGAAAATTTTTTTTAATTCATATTAAATTTTTTGTCTACATATTACACGAATACCCTTCTACTATGCATATGGCGTCTTATTAGCCTTCGGTAACTTTAAAATATTTTTAAAAAAGCTCTAAAAAAATATTTAAATCTACCTATGGTAATCATGGGCTTATTTTTATATCCATTTTCCCCTACGAACAAAGCACAGAATATATACACCGAAAGTTAATGAAACGCTCTACTATGAACTAACTTTTATTCCACTCATTTTAGTAAGGTGCATTTGCTTACTAGCACCACTAAGCCATTGCTAATGTTTCATTGGTGGTGCTATAATTTCTTCGAGGCTTATATTTTAAACTTATGAACGCAACATTATGTGTTCTTCCTCCATCACGCTAAAAAAAGGGTCTTTCCTCTTAATATTACTTGCGACTGTTTAATCAATCAACTCTTGATTAGCCTTACTTGATAAAAGCATGTAATTGCTCCTTATATCGTTAACTTCTTCCAAATCTAACTCTTGTTCTTTACCCCACTGCTATTTTACAATAATTCTACCAATAGTACGGCATTGTCTAAAATATAGAAATTTTGATTATATAACGTTTGCAGGATACTGCTAAGTTTCTTTTACTTCTCGGCTAAACTATTAAAGGTATGTGAGCGTTCCGCGCTAATTTCAATGCATTATACGGATTCTCGTCCTAGACACTTTAAAGACGACCTAACTAATTCATATTTTTTGTCTTTACTAACAGTAAACTGTTCATTTTTGGAGATCAAATATAAGGAAACTTTTGGTAATTAAACTTGTATTTACCTAATATTAAATAGGTCAGAAGTTATTATATACTCCCTCTCTAGTGGCAAAACCATCCGTTATATCTGTTAAATTTTCCACCAAGTCAAAAAGTCGACGCTCCCCTTAAGGAGCCAGGAAATTCGTTTATTAAGGTATCAATTTTATTGGTACACTCCCTAACCTTAGCATAATGATTTTCATTTTCATACCTCATTATTTAATTCTAATAATAATTTTACAATTGTTCGAATTAAATAAATATCAACTTTGGAGGAGACGAATCCGAAACGGTGCAGTTGAAGCTTAATTTGTAAGATTTCTTCGCCTTAAGGACGCAGGGTGTCACTTACAAAAGTAGCAGCTTCTATCCGTACCCTTCGGATAAAATAACCTTTACCTCTAGCAGTAAATTAATTAACTTTTCTTTGGAAACCATATACTGTTTTACAAAGCGTTGTTTTAAATCCCCAAGAGCGTGAAACTCCTCGTATAACCTTTGAATTTACATACTAACCTAATTTCAGAGCACTTTCTGACTCCAATCCTAATTTTTGAATAAATCTAAAAGTTCCATTCCTAGTACTTTCTTACATTCGCGTTGAAGTATTGATTCCTCCTTCATCGCCTCTGTTCTCCACATTTAAGTATTAATTATTACCCTTTTTTAACTATAACTTAGAGACCTTAACCTCAGCACTTATTTCTCTTCAGGATTTTAGTTAGAGATAGTCCTCTTTGCCATTGGCATTGACAATTGCCTGTTAGCCCTAGTAAGTGGTACTAAACCGAATTGTAACTTTCAACAACTAGTTCACAAGAATCCGTCTATGATGCACCTTCTCGACCTCATAAGCTTATATCATATTGTTTTTCAGCAAGATAAACCAATTTTTTTTTAAGTATTCAAATAAACAAGGTAGTGTGGGGTGCATCAACGCATTGTCGCAATGAATTAGTGTAGTTCATTCTTATTTTTTCTTCGGGTCCCTCTTTGAATTTAACTCCTGAGCGAGCTCAGAGATTCAGGAGCCAATTTCATGCTAGGATATCAAAATTTATGAGGGCGAGGTTGAATACGCGACTATCAAAGACCGAAAAAGAGAGTCGCACAACTTAGAAAGGAGCCCACGACCTTGAGTATGCGCGTTAATGCTCTTAACCATTAAGCATTAGAAATTTTATAGGAATTATAAACAAATATAAAATAATATGTAAAAGTTTAAATAAATATATAAAGAAATAAAATTAAAAAAACAATAGAGACAGAGAGATAACTAGATTAACCGATACGGTTCTTATTTATTCTTTAAAGTTTATAATATTTTTAAATTATCTAAAATATCTAGATTGGTGCAAAGATCATTTTTGGTTGAATATTAAATTGTTACTATTTTAATAAAATGCTTTAAATTTTCATTAGTTTAAAATCTTGTTACAACCCTCGATCCCGCTATGATGATTTTACGTATTAAACCTGTGTTACCCCATGTTACTAACCCACAGGCAGAGGTCTTAAGCCGATCTTGGGTGCCCTTAACGTTGTGTAGTAACTCTCAGACCAGGGACTTCGACCGATCTTGAGCGCCCCTATTGTTTGCTGTTTTGCCCTCAGACCGGGGTCTTTAGCCGATCCTTAAGCGCCCTTATGTTTAGCCTAAGGAAGAGATGGTGCTTATAACATTTTAGAATATATGAGATCGAGGTTAAATACGCGACCATCAAAGACCGAAAAAGTGGGTGGCATCAGTAGGAAACGAACCCAAGGTCTCGAGTTTAGGTGCGTCTATGCTTTCAGCCACCGAGCTACTACGCGGAACTCTCGATCCCGGTATGATGGTTATACGTATTTAACCTTTTGAAGGGTCTTCTAGATACTATGCTCTAAATTTTTTTTTACCTATTTAACTAATTACTAAACTGAAGGCTGTAAACCACCTATTTTCCAATCCTATAGTAACATAATTTATGCGATTCACCTGAATCGCTTACAAAGTCTTCAAAACAATTATCTACCGTTCCATTGGAAAGGCAAACAATATTTTTTAACGTACATGTTATTTTCTGCAAGGTCGAGACAATGAGAATCCTACCTTTTTAATTTTAAAATTGGTTATATTTCATAACTAAAGGATAGCCCGGCCGAACTCGGTCTTTCGTCCTACAAAGTAGCCCCGCAACTGGGTTTTTCCTTTACTTTTATAAAATTCTCCACTATAACCGATAAATGTTAACAATATTTTTGTCGAAAACGAACTTAAATTTTTGAAGTTCATTTGATGACCTTTATCATTTGACATAATATCTCTCTTTAAAATTGCTAAGAGCCGCCACAACTTAAATTCTACGAATTCTTTGAAATTATTTATAAGTTGCACTCTACTTATATAAAGCTTTTCCAACAACCACTTGCAAAGAATTTTAGTCTCCGTAGAATGTCTTTTACACATATAAGCTTTAAAAAATGTTTGGCATTGTTATAATAACTAGAATTTAAATTTATTCGTTAACTTATTATTTAATATATTCCAACGGCTTTAACTTTATAATTTTTATCACAAATTGATTAAACCCTCGAAGCCAAGTTTTTTAACCTCTTTAGTACTATTTTTTCTGCAAACTAAACATCTTTTTTTTTTTATTGCTGTTCAAATTATTTGAGTACAATACTAGACTTATTTCTTTGAAAATTAAAAAAAAAAATTAGGAACAACTTGATCGTCTACACTTTTGCTAAGATTATATGACTATGTACTTCTTCAGTTATTCTCTAGGTTCATTGATATCTAGAATTTTTCTCTGTAATATAATAATCTTACTTTTCCAAAAGTATATCAAGTCTTCCTTACAACTCTCTTTCATTTTAGTTACTCATCCTTCTTGTTTAGTAGTAGCTTGACACTAATTACACTTAAATCGTGTTAACGCCGGCCATACGACATTAATTACACTTAGCTATATCTTTAGTAAATTCTAAAAACCTAGTTAAATATTAAAATTCCTACAGGTGAAAGCTCTCTAACCATATTTTAACGCCATACTACGAGGGTTTCCTCTATAAGTCCCTTTGTAAAACCATTATAACTAATGTCATTATATTACTTTTTATGTAAACTAGTAGTTCAAAGATTATATTTAGTAGATATTATTACACTCCCTCTTTTTATACATCACTCCATGTTTATCGCTATTACTCTTTTCTTTTTAAATTCTAACCGAGTTCTTATCTCACAATGTTATAGAAAATTATTACTGTAAAAAGTAACTTTCAAATTTTTTTTTTATAGAAACGGAGGATTGAATTCCAATTCGTATATACGCGTGAATATCACGGAGCGTGCCAACAAGGTCTGCCCTCGCGTTTTATTCTACTTCTATTTATCTTCCCTATCTATCATATATTTATATATCTCGTGGTTAAAAATTCTAATATCCCATTACGCCAAAAGCAACCAAATAGTTAAGGCTAACCCTAAACTTCTAACTTTCTCATACTTTATTAAAAAATTGCATAATAATATAAATAAACTATAATTATATGTAACGTGTGAGAAAAAAATCAACACGTGTATAAAATTTAAAAAAAAAAATGAAAAGAGTATATACGTATCACAAAGAGATAATTCGTTAATCAGTTTACCCTTTGTATTAAATTACCCTTTACAAAAGGATAAAATTTTTTATATATACATGTAAATAGCCTTACCAAATTAAAAAAAATAATTTATTTTGTCAATTAGTGCTTATAATATGCCCTTGTAAAATTATTATTTTACCGGCAGTAAGTCTTTAAAACTGGTATATTTAAGAATGATTAGTTACATAATATAGTAGAGTGTATATTATAGATAATAATTATAATATTGAGTTATTAAAGGCCCAACACGGTAACATTTTATTTTATAAATTTAAAGACTTCTGGGGAAAACCTCATAGCCAAAACCACTAATCAAGGTGAGAAAAAAAAGTATGTCGTGCTCGGGTCATTTATATATAAAAATGCCCTCAAGGGTTAAGCCCTCATCTATACATTTGTTAAACTAAATTTGCAGACATGATCATTTTATTTTATATAAAATTATTTGTATTCTATGTATTATGCTTTGTATTATTGCCTTTTAAAAATATAGTGTTTCCTTGTTCTAATTTTTTTTGTTTTAAAATTAATTGTTTGTAGTGATATTCGTGTTAAACTTCTTTATTTTTCGGTGTAGAGTACGAATAGTAACCAAAGGTCCTCTTGATAATACCCGCTAACGTTTCGTTCGACTAAGGTTTCTAAGCCCTTTATTTTCAGGTCTCGCTACAAGTAATCCTATATTCGGTGCTGCTGCTTCTGCAGCACTTGTGTCAATATCCTGATATCCTGATATAACTCATCTAGGTTACTCCCTTTTAAGAAATCCTATGAATTGAATAATTGATGTCACTCAAGATTTTTTATCAATTTTTTCTCAGTAATCACATTTTCATTAGTAAAAGGCTTCTCCTGTTCAACGATATTTTTTTCATTTTAAAATATATCCTTAACAAATAAATGAACTGTGCATTTTTTATTCATTGGTTTTCAAGTAGTAGGAAAACTTAATGAAGGTAAAAAGTGACTTTAAGGGAAATCGGTTATCGAAATGCTCTACACTAGAACCTTAAAACCAAGCTTAAGTAAATTAATGCTTAAGGTATCAATAAGGAGACCTTAAAGTCAGTGCTATCACTTAAGTTGAGGCGTCTAGCCGTAAATTAAAACTTACTTAACTGGTCAATATACATTTAATTTCATGCTTTATTAGCATAAAATTTCTGGGTAAACAAATTAAAAAGAAATTAAAAAAAAGTTAAGTTATACCCTTCTTGTGGTTATAACTTTACTTAGTTTTACTGGTCTTTAATATTCGTTTATATCTTTCCTAAAGTTTTTATCGCAGCCACCCTATATGTAACTCTTTTTATATACATATACAATTAATAATAACTATTGAAGCTGAAGCCCTACTTATATGATAAAGGGATTTGACCAAGTCATCACTTGTAAAATAGAGAAAGGGTTAAACCTGTGCGTCTATCAAAATTTTTATAAAAATTGTGTAAAGATGTATACTAAATCAAGAATGCTTTTATTGACCAGTTTCGGTCTGTGTATATACCTTTACAAAAAGCCGGAATATGCTTCCATATATAGTACAATAAATTTAATAGAAACTTTTACTTCGTTTAGTTGTATCCAGTTAATAAGGTACTCAAATTAATTTTTTTTTGTGTTGAAATACTCTCTTTTCTTGTATTTTTATTGGTTGTTCTCAGGTTTCTGATTGAATTAATTACGAATCATTTTTCCTGTGAAAATTAAGAGGGTTAGTGTTTTATGGCTGTGTACTTTAATGTATTATACCATGTTTTTTGTAATCTATATTTATTTTTGTTTTTCTATTTGTATTTTCCGTTTATATATTTTTTTATCTTGTTTTAAATTGTGTCTTAGGTGTTTTGTATACTGTGTTATTGTGTTAGTGTCCTTACAACTCTTAATGGCTTAGCATTTGAGTATTAGTCATTAAAGTAAAGCAAATGGACGCCCAAGAGAAAGGAGTAGTTTAGAAACTAAAGGAGGTTAGTTTACTTTGTAATCATTCTTTTGGTTCTACTTAAGATTCATGGTATGCTATGGGGAAACAAGATTTTTTTTCGGCGTATCATCCTTGCGATATATATACGCAAAACGTAATGTTCGATCTCAATAGCCTCTCAGTCCTGAATACCTATAGTTTTCTAAATGTAGAAAAGTAAGTTTCTCTTTTACTTCTCTGCAACTAGGAGCTAATTTTAAGTGTAATTTTGTAGTCTTAAAAAGAATATAGCGACTGACTTAAGTATCTCAAGGCTACCTAATTTATATTCTTTAGGGGGCCAAACAATTTACCCGTCTAGAAGGTAAAAATATTGTCGAGTCTGTGTACTCTATAAAGATCAAAGCAATTTTTCTTCTTATCGACTACGCTTCATAGTCAAATTATAAATCAATTGTTCTTCCGCAGTAAAACCCTGCATTCAAAAAACCACCACACTATTGGAATTTAGCCTCTGCTATTAACAAACCCCTAACTCATAACCTCCCTGCCAATTAAGCAACTAATAAAATACATATTTTCACCGGTGTGGGCCCGCGCTACTGTTCCAATTTTTTGTTCTCATTTTCATAGGTGTCCGCAGGTAATAAGGATAATTAGTCTTCAAAATGCTATAAATATATGTTTTTCTTATTACTTTTGACTTAGCATATAGTACAGTTTTATTATATTATTGATTTGTTAATGCTTAAGAGGAACTAGCCAGTTCATCTCTTTAGCTGTTTAACTTATATTGTTGTATATTCATTAAACTTTTGAACTGAAAAGTTTGTTTTACAGTAAAAATGGGTGGTAAGTGGGGTTATTTTCAACATGCCCGTGGGATTGTATATTACGCTATTTCTCCCTTTGAGCAGCGAGTTTTTGCAGGATTTTGGAAGAAGGTGATGAAACCTTCTTTAAATAATATATTTGTGTGTTATTGCCATTCTTTTTTTAGTTTACGCTTTTTTTACAGCAAGCAGATATATGGTCAACAAGGATTCGAGAAAACTTTTTTTACGTAGTTCCGCCGTACGCACTAATGTTCGCAGTTATGATATGGTACTTTATCCTTGTATGATTTCGTTTTGGTAAATACATTAATTTATTTATTTATTGTTAGGGCCGAGGCTGAATATAAACGCATCCACAGAAAAGATCCCAAGCAATATGAACACGATACTTAATATTTTTTGTGGAAAATCGTTAAAGAAAAAAAAAAATTTCCCCATAAATTTACTCATTAATGCTTAAGCTATACTAAAGATATAATTAACTTTAAAATTTTAAATAGTGAGTTTACTAATTATTAGCATATATAGTGCCCAAATTTTGTAAAAAAGCTTAGTGGTATTATTACATATGCTAATAATTAGCTTTTTTATTATTTATTTCATTTTCATAATACAGTGCCTACTAACACGGCATTCTTATATATTAAAACTGAGGCAGCTTGCTACTTTCAATTTTCGAACTATTTTTTATTAGTTAAAGTAGCTGGGTGTATTATAATAACCTTTTTAAAAACAATTGTCTTTGTTTTAATAGTATATATTTGTAGTAGTAGCTGATGCAGCAATCTGTAGGCAGGTATAGTCATGTGCGACCTAAGGCGCTTTCGATCATTACATTAGAAGAGGATTTAGAGTATTGTAACCATCTCGCCCAAATATTCTATTAATTAAATTTTTCATGCCTTTTTTTGCAGAGAAAACCTTTAATATTATCAAGCATAAAGTCATTATCTTATTTCATTACACTTAACTCAAAATTGTGCCTAATTAAGAACAATTAGGAAACAATTAAGTTTAACATAGTTTTTACTTACCTCTGCTCTTCTTAGTATTTGATAGAAAAAGATGAAAGGTGAAAGACTACTTTACTAGTAAATAGTTCCTCACATTAAAAACTAATTATTCGGATCCCGTCGACCTATGAAAGTTTAGATTCGACTAATTCGTATGCTTGAACATATATTAATTTGGTCGAGTTTAAGAATAAAAGATTATTCCGCAAAGGTCAATCTTATTTGTGTTTGTGTTTTTTATACAAGTCAGAGGTGTGTGGGCTTTTGAGGGTGGTTAGTAGTTAGTAGTTTAACGTGCGTGTTCGTGTTCCTGACTTGACAGTTCTTTAGCTATAAAATCGCGTGTTATTTCAGGAGGAAATGAATATATTAGAATTTATGAGGGCGAGGTTACATACGCGACCATCAAAAACCGAAAAAGAGAGTCGTGTCGCGGGGAACGAACCCACGACCTCGAGTTTAGGCGCGTCAGTGCTCTCAACCGCTGAGCTACGACGACGAGTCCCGATCCCGGTATGATGGATTTCACCGTTTAACAAAAGTTGTATACGTAATTTATCTCTCGGAGGTTGAGTTGTCATCGTAGCTCAGCGGTTATGAGCATTGTCGCGCAATCTCAAGCTCTCAGATTCGATTCCCGTTGGTGCCAACTCGCATTTTCAGGTTAGGCTGTAACGTATAACTTCCCTACAATACAAAATTCTAACGGAGTATTTCCTTCAAACGTCAGTTTTTCAGAGAGAACTATAATACTTATATTCACACGTGGCTTAGTGCACTTTGCTTTTGTTAATATAAAATTTAACAACTGCATTTTTAAAGGTTTTTTCTGCTTGTGCGGTTTGTGTCGAAAGTCGAATAATTGATATTCAGGTGAATACATTACACAGTGCTTTTTTAGTGTCTCTATAGTAAAGTTGATACTTAAAAGTCCCGGAGATAAAATATAGAAAGGAAGTAGGAGCGTTGACAAGGCCGTAACGATAACAGAAAGCTGTCTTCCATTCATCACATTCTATTATTCCGACTAAATGATAAGGATCAGGAAGGTTCTAGCCTGGTAAAAATATTAGCTATTGGTAAGGCTAAAATCTAGTAGTCCTTGAAGGAAGAGAAAACTTATTTTTCACGGTAATAACATTGAGGTCACGATAATCTATACCTAACCTCATTTCGTTAAGCTTTCTGACAAAGAAACTACTGGCTTTTATAAACTTGTGAGAGATCTAATCCATCGTTCATCTAAGACTTGACCAAGGAATACTTTCAAACTTTTCAACTTAGTTGCAAATAAGGGATACAGCTTACTACTAGTAGGAAGATTCGCTCCTTTAAACAACTTAATTTTTATTCGTAAGAACGATGAGGTGGGAGCGACAAATTACTATTATGAGCGGCTTTCGCTCGATATATATAGGTATACTGATTAATAACACTACATATACTTCTATAGCAAAAAGCACAGATAGCTACTCTATGCTTGTTACCATACAAGTAATATAATACAGCGAGGCAATTACCTTTCTTGTAGTTAGCACTATTAACTAGCAGTTTCTACCCGAAACTATTCAAGTTCGGGTTACTTAGCCTATACCTTTATTAGTTTTAAACAAGTTACCTTACTGCATTAGTGGCCCAGAACGAGATATAATGTTATTAGTCTTTACTCATTAGTACAAAAGCACTCCCGTCTGCGTTCGACTTTCTACTTACATTGAACGAGCTATTTTCATACTAACTTAGGCAAACTCGCCAATCTTTCAATAAAGGCTCCAAAGGCTTTTCGTTCACTACGTATAAAAATAAATAGCTTCAGAAAGCAAGGCCCGTATACAAATCGCAAGCTCTCGAATACTAGAGTAAGGCTAATGAGAATTTTACTTTAGTCTTCTTTGAGCAACTTTAGTCGGTCATTAGAGCGTAACAGGTCTAGTTTATGAACACGAAGGCACCAGGCACAAGGCATGTTACTAACCAAAGCGTCACATCCTAAGACACAGGGAATCTAGCACCTGCCAAAGAACGAAAGCCATAATACTGATTTTACCAATTTTTATAGCATGTCATTTCACACGTAGTTTGAGCCATATTTTAGACAACACCTTCAGCTCTCCGGAGTAAATGATAACACTGAGTCAGAGTTTAACCAAGAAAGTTACTATAATCACGGTTCTTTGGTTTACATAGTTAATTAGCTATTTATGTTATCGATGAGTCCAAGTATCTAATCGAATAATAGCCCGGTCAAGCTAAGAGTAAAAATTAATTAACCAGAGAGCTTACCGGATACTTACGGATAACGCCTCCAAATAGTAGAGGGTGACATAACCAAAGCCAAGGTAAACCCTGCATTCATCATGCATTACCCCTCCGTATGACCCCCAATGTTCAACACTAGATCGCAACCATCGTGAAGCGTCAGGGAATACCCAGTAGACCGTACGGTTTTTTCATATAGGTCCTATCTTTTTGGGTCGTTTTAAAGCATGATCCTAGGGAAAAAGAGTCACCCTCGCTCCCATGAAGTATGTACTTTACTACCGCGAGGTTCAGAAACCTGGACCATCAGCGCCAAGACACTTTGTATTCAGCGTCTCCATAGTTGACGCATAAAAGCTTTTCTTAAAATGATAGCTAACGCCTACATCGCTGTGGTCGCAGCGATAGCAAAAATGCTCGCGCAGGACAAGCGTTTAAGATACATATAAAATAGATAAAAAGCCTGAAAGGCTGACTTTAGCTCTTAAGTTGAATGCTAGTAATCTGTAACCTAATATAGTTATAGAAAGATATTTATCTTAATTTCATCATCATCTCAAATGCCGAGAGGATACGACCTTTCACTAATAACAGTAAGTTCTAAGCTGTAGTAAGCAACTATTTACGGCAGACGCTCATGTGTACATAACTTAGCCTTTGTCAAGATACCTCTCACCAAATTGGTAAAAGTAGAAAGATTATGTGGTGTGCTATGAATTGTCAAAGTAAAAGTGGTTCTACAGCAGTAGACCGTTAAAGGATTATTTTCCTATTTTAGTTGTTAATAAAAGAAAAAATACTTACGAGGAGATAACCTTATTAAATTAGTATCAATTCATTGCATAGTATTGTGCTTGTGTTTTTCTATTAATGACAAGTACGTACTGTTTAATACTTCTATCCTAATCCCGCACTAACCTTCCCTCAGATTGAAACGATCTAACAAATAATGCTTTCATAGCGGTGTTGATACTTTAATCTCCTAAGGAGGAGGTATCAGATAAAGGGACCTAGGAATGCTTTAAATTAGGAAAATGATCGAGTTAATATCCCCATTGGCTTACTCTTCTTTTGTTCGAGTTTAGCTTCTCAAAATTAATAGAAGACCTTCTCAGTTAGGGTAAGAATTAGTCTGATGAAGGTGGTCGCCATAAAGTAAAGGCCTTGGTTGATCTTTATACGATTATATACTTTATTATGTCAAATGATGGATGAAAAGTGTTCATACTCTATAAGTTGGACTTGGTTTACCACCATTACCTCACGGCTTGTTTGGTGCCTACTTTATTGCTAAATATATGGAGTGGATGTAAGTATCAAGCGAAATGAAAGGATTAAGAAATGTAAAGTTGTCAGCTAATATGTTTATATACTAACTAGTCTCGCTTCAACCAGTATAATTAACTTCTCAGTTAAAAAAAATCAAGATCCTTGTACGTCACGATGAGGCCTATGAACCAAATAAAAGGTGACAGATTAAGAATTCGAAGTTTAGTTACTTAAGCGTTAAATCCATATGCTCTATTTCTTTTATCATATCAGGCCAAAGTAAGAGTAAATTTCTTTAACATAGGTCGAAAGAAGTAGTACTAATTGCCTAAAACCATTGTAACCTCTTAGTTAGTTGCATGTTTCTCTTGGTAAACTAAGTTAGCTATTACCAAATTGAAGTATTCACGTCAATTTTACTACCAATCTAATATAGGTATGATTATCGTTTATTCGAGAATTTACCATAGGAATCTGGATGTTAATTCACCTGATGCTCGATAAAATGTTTATTTCTAGTATACCACATCATTACTACTTTCTACCTGTCAGATTTGTAAATAGGTATTGGATCTGCCTAACATGAATAAAAAAGCAATTACTAAGAAGAAAGTTGTAATTTGGTAGAACAAAACTAACGACCACTCTAGCAATGCTAATTAGCTTTTCTACCAAAGTAGAACGAAAAAAGGTAGAATAGTTATGTTTCTCCTTTGTTGCTTGGTGGTTCATGTTGTTTACTCGAGTTAGATCATTTTTTAACAACTAAAAAGCAGTTGAAGAAATAATGAGAAAAATCTTTACATTTAGTGTTCACTCTACAAGAACCCAAGGGCGTATTAGATGTTGCATATTCCTTCCTAATAACGATTCCGCGAAAATAAATAACCGGCCGTCTGTTTTTTAATTGTCTCCGTCATGCATTTTGTGATTTTCGGCTCTTTAACCTTCTTTTACTTACAATTAACACAGGAGAACAAAGTGAGGGCAGATGAATTTTGCAAAAGGTAGGTTGAAACTTTACTGATATCTTCCTCCAATTAATTACGAAATTATGCCGCTGAAGCCATAATAAATCCAGTAGAAGAGGATATATATCTAAATTAGCGACCAAGCATTTAACTGTTTCCACATGAGAACCTATGGTGGGATTAAGCGGTGAGATATGTTTGTTGTGGGGGCCCTTATTCGAATAACCCAGCAGAGATCACTAAAGTAACAGGAGTACGAAGAATTCGCCTACACGATTTTTATCGAGTGCTCAGTACAGTTGGCCGTATGTGAGCGTGCATCGCCATGTATAGTTAGGTACATATTCCTTGAACCGTACTCTAACCTTTAAAATCGAGGAACAGATCATGGCTCATTATTAAAACACTGCTATCTTCTCGCCGAGTTGCAGTCAGCAAAGTATACAAAAACACCTAAAACCCTGTTCAAAACACTAAACAAAAAGAAAAGAAAAAAAGAAACAGAACATAAAAACAAAAATAAATAGTATAATACATTAAGTATTAAATACACTAACCATAAAGCAAATACAAAAAATGCAAAAAACACAAAAATACAAACTCCTTAAATTTTTACACAACAAATGGTAAACTAATCATTACCACGTATAAAGTAATTTGCCACTTTATTAATTGGATACAGCTTAACAAAGTAAAATTTATAAAAACTAATCTAATTCAATTTAATCGATTATTCTAATATGGAAGTATTTTTTGACCTTTAGAAAAGGTATAAAAATAGAAAATCGATCATTAATTCCATGCTTTAATATTTTAATAAATCTTGTGTTTTATATAATTTATTTTATTGACTGCATCTTCTTATATTGTACTCATAATGTATATTATATTTTAATTATTATATCTAACATACTTTTATTATATACATTTTATACAAACTTTGATGTACTGTTGTAGTCCCGTTTACAAGTTTAGTTTGAGATTAAGGGTTAAAATTAAGGGTTAGGGGATTAATTACTTAGTGCGTCAGGTTTTCTAGGTCAGTTTTAAATTTTTTGGGTTAATCATACGCACTAATATATGGTAGATAAACTTTAAAGGTTAAACCCGAACTTAGTGTTGTCTTTGTAACATCGACATCGTTGTTCAAGTTAATAAGACTACTATACAAAACGTAAAAAAGAAGCAAAGCATAAGAACCTTAAGAAATGAAAAGAGTTTGGCATCGGTGGTAACAAAGCCACGATCTTGAGTCTACGCCAACACTTTAACCAATGGGCCACAAAGACAACTCTCATCTCCAGTATGATGGGTTCCACACAGTTCTGGTGTTGCGACAAAGCTAGTGTTTACCACAAATCGAGTAGATCAATACTCGATCACGTGGTCGCAATGCTTCCTGCCTAGCGCTAAGCTTTGCTTTTAATAGATTTTTATTTAGCCTCTTTTTGTGTTAAACAAGGTTTTAATACAACCTGAAAAATATGTCATCTGAGAAGGTGTCTGTGTAATTTTTTTTTAAGTCTACTTTGTTTTTATATTATTTCATTAATATTTTATAAGCCTAGTCACGTTTCTAATTTACTATAAGTATGTAGAAATACAGCTCTTAAATTTTAAGCAACGTATCCAAGATTTGTGCTATAGCAAGCCTGCTTATAAAAAACTACTTATGAGTAGTTTAGGAAAAATAGACTTAGAAATTTTACCTGAAGAGTATCTTCAAAGTTATATTTCTTCTTTGTTATACATAGCTCCTGTACAACCTTTTTGTAGACGAATTTACTGGTTCATTGTAGATAGGTGACTAACTACTAATAGACATAATAAGTATTTTTTAGTTTATAATATGTAAGATGTTTAGGTTTAAATCAGTCAGCAAGAGTAATGGCTTTCTCTTTATTAAAAGAAAATCGTAAAGATCGTTTTTTAAACAGGTTAAAAGTTCTTTTGCTGGTTCTTACGTAAATTTATAGGATACAAGTAAACAAATAAACTAACCATTTTTTAGTACGTGGGAGTTTCAGTGGTGTTGCAAGATATTGTGGTTTAGTCGAAATAATTTAGCGGAAGTCCACTCGTTTTTTAGAGATCTTATCTTTCTTCAGGTTTTCTTTGTTATTCTTGCTGTTTTGTGCTCATGTTTGACTCTTATATACCTTCTTAGGATATTTGTCTAACAAAGATTAGTCTTTCTAAACCCAGAAAGTTGACTAAAGCTTATAAAATTTTTCATTCGCTTCTTTCACTGGTATTGTTGCAAGTTTGTGTTAGTGGTAATTTATAAAATATTATTCTTATTCTAACTTTAAGGACCCTCAGCTTGTTGAAATTTATGTTCATAACATCTTTAAAATAGATAATTTTATTTCTTTAAAAGGTTTAATTCTTTTTTCTAGATCTTTTTTGTATAATGTTTTCTGTTAGATTCCTTATTACATTTTTGCGCGCAGAAAGGGTTATTTTATAAACATGTTAAGGTCTTTTTTCTTTTATTGGCTTCTGTTTTTCTTGTGAGGTTTTTTTATGAGTCTTTACCTTTATTGTTGTGTGCAAAACTTTAGGAGAATGCGCTGGGTGGATTTGTCAACTTTATTATAAACGCCAAGAGCTTCACAGACATGAGCGAGTTGGTATATTTTGCGGGGTAGAGCCCTCCATCTTTTGGTTTACTCCGTAATAATATTTCAAGGAGAATTACCGGTCTACAATAGCACTACTAACTTTGGATGACTTTGAGAAGCTAATAATTCCTCCTCTTGCTAAACTTTTTTTAAAGAGCGGGAGCTTTGCCAGTGGGGGTTTTGAACTTCTCTATATTAAATGTGTTTAGTAAGTAAAGCGTTCTTCAGTTCTTCTTCACATTTTGGCCGGCCTCCAGATAGATGTCTCTACTCAAGTCTCGCGTTTAATGGAACATCTTCTTGGTATTATTCCCTTTTATTGGTTTTTTTGCTTTAACATTTTTTTCTTACTTATTAGCCTCTATGCTTTCTAAGGATCCACTGCGTAGAAAAAACGCTGTGGAGGCTTTGGGCTATTTACTGATGCGTGTTGATGAGCATTCCATAGTTTTCGTGTGCAATCTATTACTAACTTCTTTGGAGGGTCTATTTAGTTCTTATTCTCTTATATATACAACATTTGTTATATGCTTTCCTAGGAAAAGGTCCCGCTCTCGTGAGTTGGGACGTAAAGCTCGTTGTGGCCAACTGCCTCAGTCTTTCTGTGGGGCTGCGGGCAGTCACGCTTCCTGCGGGATATGGCGACCGCATTGTTACTTGTGTAAAGCGCGAAGGTAGGTTGTTTTGGTTGTTGGTCTCATATTTTTAACACACTTAAGCAGCCAATGCTAACGTCCGGCAGTCGCTATGTTCGGCGTTGGCTCGTTTCTACTATAAGCGCCCCTTGTCTGATGCAGTAATTCACTTGCTACAAGAAAACCTGCCTCTCCCTGTCGATACCTTTTGCGCATTTTTGCGATACTGTTTTTATTATTGTGTATATTTAATTTTTAGGCTCATGCAAGCATATCGAGGTTACTGTTGTTACACTTTCTGGCGACTCTCGACTATTCTCGAAGCCGGCAAGAGCTCGTGGGGCTGCTACCAGTACCTGCCGTTTTTTTTTTCTTATGCACTGATTTTACTGTGCTTGGCCTCGTAGGCGTTGCAGTGTATACTTGTGAACAGCGAGACACACGCTTCACAGCTGTCTATAGTATGGGAAGGCATTCTGGCAGCTGCTGTCCTTGTGTTCATGGAGCTCCGCCATGCAGGTTTGATACTTATTGGGCTCATTTGTTTTTGGTTTTTTTGTGGAAGGAGCCTATTTTCTGTACATCGCATCGGTAAAGAATCACATACAAAAGTCGGGCTCCCACGTGACATGTTCAACGTCTTCTGTAGTTGGAGGGTCCTTAATTCTACTCATTCCAGCGAGGCATATCTGAAGACACTGCTAGACTTGTGCATATTGAAAATTCCCGAAAACCACAAGTACTTGCGACTTGCCATTATATTTTCACTTGCCCACTGCTTCTTAAGTTTCTCTTTTATAAATAAGCTGGCTGATAGGAGTACTGCGTTTATCTGTTCACCATATTGGCGGCGTACGTCGCTACGCCAGAGAGCGCTTCTTGCAATTTTGTAAGAAGAACATTTCATTGAATTTTGTGAAGCGCTTTTCCGAAATATATTTACGATTTACGGTACTCTTTTTATCTTATGGCCTTATTTTTTCTTTAACTATTACTTTTAAAGGCAACAATGGACATCTCCTTTATGAGGACGCCTACTAACGAGCCAAGGAAAACGGACAAGGCATAGTTGCAATTTTTTTATATGCACTTTCAAGGAACGAGAGATGAAGAACTCTGTTGGAGCAGGTCACGTGTCTGCAAGCCCTGGTATCCTCCGCTGGAAGATTAACTTCTACTGAACTCGAAGTCTTTGCGGCCTTGATGATGCCTTTGTTTCTGCATCCCTCTGTGGGTCTGCCTCTATCTATTTGCTGATTCCTATTTTGTCTGTTCTTTGATGCGTGGAATACAGACCAGCAGCGCCCATATCTTAGAGCACTCAGAAAACTTTGCTTTAGCCTTCCAGAGTTTACTCACAGTCGGTCGCAAGAATTTCAGTGCATGGTGAAAGAACTCTTGACGTCGTCTGAGGTCGCCCTCGTCTTTGTGCTGACATAGATTTTCTGTTGGGACATCCCCCTTTGCTTAGGACCAATCAATTGCGAGAGCCATGTGTCTTATTAAATTTCTCTCTCGTCATGGCGGGCACATATTTGTGGAGCATTTTGCGAAGTAAAACAATCATGCCTCAGATGTTATGCAAGAGGATGCTTACTCTTGTGATACGTGTTTCAGTTATGCTGTTTCTCGCGTGTTCGTGGGGAGCATTCAAAATATTAGCGAACGGGACTTTAAATGTTATTTGTCGGAAGAGGGGGTTTCCTTCACACGGGAAAATGCACCATCGGGAGAGGATACTTGCACTGCACCGCACGTCCTGCACGAGGGCCCCCTTCCCACGGAAGGGCACACCTCAATACTTACAAAGTATCAGCCGGAGGTAGCTAGTTCTTGTGTCTCCACTTGACATCGTCCTTTGGAACCAGTGGTAAACTTTCCTTAGAAAATCGACAAAGAGCTGCACAATGAAGGGAGAGCCAGGCAGTTTGTCGCCCTTGCCAAAAAGGAAATAAACATTGCTACTTCTATTTTTCGGATTCTTATAGAAAGCTGTCCTACTGAAGCAAAGGTCGCAAATCCGCCCTGTCATGGGGCGAAACTTTCCGCTAATTTGTATATTTACTGGTATAGGCTACATTGGTAAGCGTTATTGGTCCGTTTCTTGTGCGCCATTTCCGTGGTGTCCTTTTTCCGTCCTCCGAAGGGCTATGGCTTCAACTTTCTCGTTGTTGCTCACAATGTTATTCAGGTTTTATTAGCAGCTCGGTTTCTGTTCTTTCGTTTAAAGTCTTATTGAGGCGCATTTTTAGACCTCTTTTGCCTCATTGGTCACACAGCCATTCGTATCACTTTGCCATCCTTCTCACGACCGGATGATTATGATCTTCTCTCTCGCGTCTTTCTACGGGTCCACAGCTTGTGTGACGAAGGAAAGCTTACACCCGCTGACTTTGCGTACTTCTTCGAGCTCTTAAAACTATCTTTTCGCCCGGAGACGAATGTTCCCGTGCACGTAAGCGTCGGTGGCCTGCGGACCTCAGTTATAATGTCCCTTTTTTTATTCTTTTCAGATCCTCGTGGCAGGGTTAGAGTTCGTTGGCGCCTTTTTAGCTCTCGGGTCGCCCCTCCCCTCTCCCCTGCGCCTCGAAATGTTTAAGTTTATATGTAGTGTTATTATTTCTTTTGAAACTCTGCAAGTGCAGGTACTCGTGGCTGCTTTTTTTGTATAGGGCCTTTTTTATATTATTTGTTTTAGGCTGCCGAGCTTTTAAGGCACTTGTGTGGTACAGTACCTGCACTTAATGAAGAAGAGCTTTTGTATTTGAGCAGCTCTCTTTTGCACTCGAACGCAAAGTACGTATATATGTTTTTTTCTTCTAAGTATTCATGGTTGCTTGTATGAAGCCTTCGACTCTTTATTCTGGAAGCTCTTTATGCAGCCTCGTCTTTACCCACATGTGATTTGCTGGTAACTCACACGTTTATGCTCAGAGAAGAGCAAGACGAAGCTGTTAACTTGGCGGCCTCGCGACTTTGGGACAGATGGTATGCGAGGGCCGAGTAGTCATCCAATGAATTTTGTTGCTTATATACTAAAATAGTGGCTTTATTCTTGAAGAACGCCATTGTGAACGTCTATTAGTGACATGCGAAACACTTCCTCTTGAACGTCAACCTCTTTGTTTTCTAGCGCTGACAGTATTTTGCTCATGACAGCATATTATCATTTTTGTTCCATTGCGAATGTTCAGAAAATGCTGGCTCAGTTCCCCTCTGTCGCCTCTAGAAGCGCTGTTTCCATGGTTAACAGATTCGTGAAACTGAACGCTGAAGGGCCGGGCTCCTCCAGTCCGAAACAGGTCCTTCATAGGATTTATGAACCGTTAATGTCAATGGCATATAGTTTCTATTAAGTCCATGGATTTCGATTGGCACCCTCGGGTAGGAGTGGCCGGTGCGATAAAGACATTGGCTCCATTCTTGCAACCTGAGCCGTCTCGAAAGCGTAACTGACACTTCTATTGTACCTTATAATTATGTACTGTCTTAATGGTTTTAGTATTCACCACGTTGCTGATCAAAGGCCTTCCCGATCCCCACGAGCGGGTCCGGGAAGCCGTTTTTCAAGCATCTGTTGCTCTGGTGGAAAGGCAAGGAAAACACTCGGCGCTGCTTTTGCCCTTGCTTGAAAAACGCCTCGAACATCCGTCACTTCTGTCTGCTGAGGCCGTATGTGTCTTTCTTCCTACCAGTCGTTGAGCTGCCTGAATCAATTTCTTTATTAGAGCGATCAGCTGAAAGCGTGCATTATCACTATAATGGGCGTCGTTGCCCAACACTTAAAAAAAAACGACCCCCAAATCCCCGTGATTATCGAGAGACTGCTTGATACCTTGGAGACACCCTCTCAGTGCGTGCAGGAGGCCATCTCGAACTGCCTTTCCCCTTTGATGAAAGTTTCGAAGATATCAGTAAAAAGTATATTCAGCAGACTTCTTCGTCAACTTTTCGAGGGGAAAAAGTATTCCCAACGAAAAGGAGCCGCCTACGGGTTGGCCGGTGTAGCCAAAGGTCTGTCTCCGCCTCATTGTAGTGCTTTGCGGTTTTTAAGGGGTGGGTATTGGTAAGGCCTGGAAATGCGTTCATTACGCGAAAACAACGTCATCCCCACCCTTTTTGACGCCATCAAATCGAAGGACATTAACAAAAAGGAGGGTGCTTTATTAGCGGTGGAGGCTCTCATCGGCTCTCTTGGCTCGTTTTTGCCCCTTTTTCGCTTCCTTGATTAACAGTCCACCACATTTCTTTTTAAAGGGCGCATGTTTGAGCCGTATCTAATAAAAATACTGCCTTCAATATTAACATGCTTTGGTGACGGCGACAGGAACGTTCGAGAAACTGCCGGGGATACTGCCCGTGTAAACTTCTTATCTTTTTATTGGTGTTTTCACGTGGGTCTATTTTCTGCTTGTACTCGAATATTAAAACTCTTCTTTTAAGGCTGCCGTCAAACATCTTCGCGAAACACCCGACGGCGGTTTGGGAGTAAAGCTATTTCTTCCTTCGCTGTTGTCTGCTTTGCAAGACAAAAGTTGGCGCACTAAGCAAGGTTTGGTCCTTTTTCTCTCCTGAGTGGAGTACCTTTATACTGTATTCGGCTTATCTGCAAGGGGCTACTGAAATGCTTGGATCCCTATCGCATTGCGCTCCTCTGCAGGTGAATTTCGACTTCGCTTCCGTGTGTCTTGGTCTTTCAGATGAGCGTTTTACATAGTTATCGTCGTCGCTTCCGCTTGTTGTGCCCCGCCTAATTGCTGTGCTGGCGGACACCCACCCTGAAGTGATCTTTTCTGCCAAACGAGCACTTTACCAAGTCGGCTCTGTGCGTTTAGCTTCTTTACATCGTCTCTGTTATTTCAGTTTTAGTAAGCTTTCATTTGCCTTTACAGGTTATTAAAAATCAGGAACTCCGAGACGTTTCTGAGGAACTTCTGCAAGCCATTATTGATCCCGTCACTAAAATTCCAACTTGTTTAAAAACACTGCTTAACACAAAATTTGTTCATTTCATTGGTTTATTGAGCATTTTTGATACTAAATATTTGTTAATGCATTTTACTTTATGCGGTAGATGCGCCATCTCTTGCGCTGGTCATGCCTGTCCTTCAGAGGGCGCTAAAAGACCATAGCACTTCTATAAAGACGCAAGCGTGCAGGATACTCGGCATAATGGCGGGCCTTGCTGACGTCAAGGATCTTTCCTACTACTTTGGTTATTCTTTTCTTTTTCTTATTTAAGTTTATTAATGGTTTTTCAGGGGACGTCATTCCACGACTACAAGTGGCCCTTGTGGACTCCAATCCGGAAGTGCGAGCCGAGTCTGCGCGGGCATTGGGGCTACTGGCCTCCGGAATGGTGGCACCCATTTCTGCACGCCTGCCTCCTTGTCTGATCACGATCTCCGCTACCCAATCAGGATGAAAAGAACCTCCACGCCACCCTTTCCTGGCTTGTAGAGACCCTCAAGAATGGCGCAACTGCCGTGGACCGCTCAGGTCATCTTTTTGGTATCAAATAAAATAATACGAGGCTAACAGTTTATGGCTCGCAGGGGCTGCACAGGGCCTTAGTTTCGTACTACACGGCCTGGACCCCGCGCGAATTCACGCGTTCCTTCCAGAATTTCTTGCCAGCGCAGATGCGGTCAAGGGTGTGGCCAAAGAAGGCTTCTTAATGGCAGGCGACATTGTCTCGTGGCTATAGACGAGCTTATTAACTTTACCTAGCAGGTTTTTTTCTATTTGCCAGAGGCATTCGGGGACCAGTTGGCTCCCTTCATTGGAGCTCTTCTCCCGACTTTACTGAAGGGTCTTGCTGAGGAGGATGAGAATGTCAGGGATACCGCCTTGCATGCCGGGCAGGTTGCCTCCGTCGCACCGTTAAACATACTCCCAGCCGTTTATTATCTTATATATATAACTAACAGATTCTTATTAAAAATTATTCAGACGAGTGCCTCTTGCTCCTTTTGCCCAATTTAGTGGAGGGTCAGTAGGAGTCACCTTGGTTGCTAAAGATAGCGTATAAATTCTTTTGCTGCAATAGGTACGCGGAATGCCTGTTGGCGCACTCGCTTCGGCACTGTGCACTTGTTGGGGGACCTTCTCCGCCATCTCTCTGGCGCTTCTGGTCACCGTATTTGGGTCCTTTTTTCTTCGCCGTTATCCTTTAAGCTTAACTGCAGCGCTTAAAGGTATCGGATATGCACGTGACGAGGACAGTTTGGCCATAGTTAAGACGCAAGCCCCCTTAGTTACTCGTTTGGGCGAAGAATGCACGCGTCGCTTGTTCTCTTTGCTATTTGTGTTGAGGACGGATCTAAATGGCCCAGTGAAAGAAGTCTCTTCTGACTTTTCCGTTTATTTTTTATACCCGCCGACTTCTTTCTTTGCCAGGTGGCCGCCCGCATTTGGAAAGATCTCGTTCACAACACTGTTGTACTGCTTAGCGGCATCCTCCCCGACTTGCTTGACTGCATATTGGCGTATTTAGGTATGCATTAAGGCCCTCTTAACTTTTTTATTGCTATAGGTTCAACTTTCAGGCAGTCCCGTGAGTGAACTTTCGTCTATGGCCAGAGCTTCATTGGAGGATGTTGTCCGGAGACTTGGCACCCGCGTCGTTCCTGAGCTTCTTCTCATCCTTGAAACCAGTAATTATTGCTTATACTCTCTCCTCCATACCATTATATCAACTTTGTTTTATTCAGGGTTAAAGGATCCCGATCAGCTCAAGCGTGAGGGGCTCTGCCTAGGACTGGCTTGTTTGCTCACTTTTACTAGTCGCGAACAAGTTAGAATATTTTTTCCTGCCACCAATACGCCAGAGTTATTGTAGTCTGGTACACAGGCGGCCGGACACATCAACCAGCTTGTTCCTTTGTGCTTTAATTGTTTATCCGATCCTTCTGCTCTGGTTAGAAAAGCCGCCGCGGGGGCTTTCCCTCACGTTATAACCTCGCTTGGTCCAAAGTTCACGTGACTTTATAGTGTTTTTACTCTCTCCTGACCCTATTTTTTGCTCATCAGGCATTCCAAGATCTTCTTTTTTCGTCTTCTTGGAAGCTTGGCGGGCGCTAGCAATACTGATCTGTTTGTAGATGGGCTGTGCCAAGTTATGCTTGTGAAAAGCGAGGCCTTCATGCCTCATGTGGCGTCCTTCTTTTTGGAGAGGCCCTTGTCTGCTGGTTTGTGAGCCAGCCCTCCCGTGGGGATAGGACGGGCCTCTCACACTTTTATTAGAGAGCGGCAATCTTCTTGCTCAACTTGTTACTCGGGCCGGCGAAGTTGCCTTTCCTTATATCGGATCCCTCTTAGACAAATTTATAAATGTCCTTGTTTTTTAAGGACGTCCACCACATTCTAATATGCTGTTCCTTAGAAGTGCTCAGAGGAAGAGTCCTTTGTGGAGAACACCAGAGTTTTGTTGTATTCTTTGAGCGAAGCTGGAGTCGATATTGCAATCGACACGCTACTGAAGAGCATAAGGTCAGAGCAGCAGCAAATTAAAGACGCTTCTTGCCTCCTATTGAGGTGTTCACCTGTTATTTATACATCTGTCTGTGCTTCTTTACTTGTATCATAAGCACCTTCTGCCTTGACAAGCATGCCGACTGCCGATTGCAGCGAGCCGACTTACTTCTACAGCTGATACTACTCTTTGATTCGAAGCTCTTCTATTCGCATGTCAAATTGGTGAGCTTTTAAATAACTGCTTCCTCCTGTTATTATTAAGCTCGCTTTTCTTATAGGCTGTTGACGCTCTGCTGATGTCTACTCCCCCAGAAAATTACGAACTTTTTGTACCGGCGGTTCACAACGGTTTCACTAGGATCTACAGAAGGAAAAAGATGTTTTCCGCCTTTTCTTTTGGGAAAGGTCATCTATCCGTGCGCGTCTCTCTTTGGCAATTTCACTATTTATACTTTTTGCTTTGCTTGATTTAAGGAATTGACTCCTTCTTGCCGCTACTCCTTGGCGCTTTGGTTAATGCTTCCTCGGATCATCAGGAGCTCGCTGCGCAGAGTGCTTTACTTCCTTTTAAGGAACTGTTTCGTTATTCCTCTCTTATGGTTTGTAGGCCTTGGAATTCTGCTCAGGTTAACACCCCTCGCCAAGTTGTCGACATCCAGCTTCGTCAAAATCGTCGGTCGTCTCATCTTTCGTTGTGGGAATGGCGGCGCTGTGATGGTTTACCACATTTAGTTCCAATGGCAAGCATTGGCTATAATATATTTCGTATAGCCTCGTGTTTACACTGTCGAGGCACTGAAGATCATCGTTGCTGGGGGAAGCCCTCAACTTAAAATGTTCGTGTCTCCCTTGCAGGTCTCATGAGGGATGCATCTCCCGGCTTTATGTATATAATGCGCCAATAACAGCAAGCCTTGGTAAGATGCCTTGCGGATGACGATAAGAGACTGCGGGACGCCTCGCGATTTGCTTATGCCGAAGTTCTTTTTGCCAGTTGAGTTTGACACCAGCCGCGTCGGATGACCCTTTTCTTTACATTGCAGCTCAACAACGCCATGACCTCGATTCTGTGTCCCAAAGACACGCACCTGAAAATTCTACTCACTACCATTGGCTCGATCACTGCGCCAGAGACGCGTGAATCTTTACTTCTCGTTTTGCTCGATTTTACTCGGAAGGTCACTCCAACCATCAGTTTATATCTATCTTGTTATTTATTGGTCAGCCGTTTAGATTATCGCCACTGTGAGCGAGATGTCCAGAGATCTGCTGTATAACTTTCTTGTGAATGCAGTAAGCGAGACTCCTCTCCGAGCCCAGCAATACTCTTCGCTTGTCCTTGGCGCTTTGCTTGGTGAACTGGATGCGAGTGTCCGTGCAGAACTCTTTAAGGTTACAGCCAGGAGACTTAGGATGTCACGTGGTGGAAGTTTGATTTAACTAAGGACTCGAAACGCCTTGCCACCAACAAAGATGTTTTGGTCATGTCCGCCTGCCTACGCCACTGCTCTTCTTACAGAGAAAAGCCACTTGGCGAAGTCGTGCGTGCCGCTCTCAATATGTTGAATGTTCCCAGCGCTGTGCGTTTTTTCAGCTCTACACACCCATATTATTTGGTTTATATCTTTTTTTGTACAGAGCAACGATACTTGCTATACTTTATTAGTGCAAAGCATCGTCTGTGCCTTGTCCCAGCTTGAGTATAAAAAAGCTGTCGCTGATGCTTTGCGAGAATGTCTCTTTTTCATAGAACTTCAGCTTAAAAACGAGAGTACGCGAGTAAGTTCTGTTGCGCTCGTTTGGGAGCCTATTGGCTTACTTGTCCACCAGCTGCATGCACTTCAGACGCTTAAGACTATCGCTAAAACCTCTCCACAGGTGGTTAAAACAAGGACGTTTTTGGATTTATTCGCAGCTCCCCTTCATGCGTTTGCTTCGGTAATTTGTTATCCTCATATACCTTGTGTTATGGTTACTTATACTACTTTCGATGATAGGCTCCCGCATCCACGTTGCAGTATCGCATAGCTCAGCGTGTTCTTCATCACGTTCAAATGGTGTTATTAGAGGAGGTAAACTTCTTTAAGTGATGTAACTTCGTGTGTTTGTTACTCGCTTTGGAAGGATCTCGACAGCCTTGCTACTACCCAGTGGGTCTTATATATTCGCAATTTTTGTTTGGACGAACATTGCGAAAATACCGACGACGAGTTTTGATAATTAAACTCCATTTTACTGTTTTTTTCCACAATTTTCTTTATTATTTTTTAAAGGAGGGAAGTACAAGATTTATATATACAGATATGAGGTGTGATATATATATAATTTGTTCAAAAGTACTCACAGCCTGAATTCTTCTTTTTCCTAATAAAATAACTACTGATTTAGTAACTAAGTAAAGAAGCTTTTGGCTCTGGTAAATTAAGGATTTTGTCCATTTTGTGTTAAATTAAAAATCATGTACTAAGCTCTTTTTGTTGATAAATCTTTAATTCTCGAGCTGGTTGAAGACAGCTTACTAATCCCTCGAGGAGTAAACGGAACTGATTTACAGAAGTAATCTTAAATGTAGAAGGCTGCGATCTATTGTAGTTTTGAAGACCTCACATACCGTCAAAAGTTGTCGAACTGGTTGTGAGTACTTAAAGACAGCATACTTTATAGTAAAAAAGCAAGCGTTTAGGTACTTTTTTCCTGCGTTTAAGCTGATGCTCAGGAGCTAGTACTTAAGCCTACATCTCATTTTACGTTAAAATTATATGCACTTGTCACTACTCACCCCCACACCACAAGGATCTGGCAAGATCCATTACTGGGTGGACAGCCACAATTAAAAAAACAATTCTCAAAATAAGCTAAAAGTTAAGAATTATATATATTGTTATATAGTTTAAATAAGGGAGAGACTCAAAAAGGAGTGACCACACCATGTAATACATATACCATTTGGTTATTACCATATGCCAGTACCCCGTGCCCTTCCTTAACTGTGTGCGCACGCGTGCTTTTGCCATGTGTTTATACCACATGATTATTATAGGTAACTATTTGCTTTTAAAAGATTTGGCATACTTATTTAATATGTCAGTTTTATTTATTGGTCACAAGTCTGTTCTACTAGTTCTATGAACCGCATGAGAGAAGTTTATATTGATTTATGTTTAGTACTTAAGTGTCTATTGTTTATTTCGAAGTTATTTGATTTAAATAACTATTGCCTCTAAAATAACGGAACTATTATAAGTACTATTGTTTGATTTATTACATACTAACACAATTATAAGAATTTAAAATAACTTATAATACACTTATTTTACTGACTAGCCGAATATTACTTCTCTCCCTATTCTAATAGACTGAATAAGTAATACCAATATACTTGGATCGAGAGTTGTCGTCGTAGCTCAGCGGTTAAGAGCTTTGGACCGCACAAGGTGGTGGGTACAATTCCCACTGACGCAACTCTCTTTTTCGATCTTTGATGGACTCGTAGTTAACCTCGCCCTCATAATTTTTATTTATTATATTCTGCCCCAAAAGTTTGGCACCCCCTATGAACGAAAAGTCGGAATACTACTAACTATTAACCAATAACTACGCAGGTCGGAAATTACAGATTTAAAGATACTTTTTTGTTTAACGCGTTCGAATTTCAGTTTACTTTTACTTTGGTAGTAATGTATTGGGCTTTTTTACCTTGTTTTAAAGTTTTTGACTATTGAAAAATATTAAACTATGAGTTTAATTTGCTTAGAGTCTTCCTCATCCCAGACAACTTCAGTCGAAAGTGTAATAAGTTTTTACTCGTGTGTAAGTTTAGAATGAACTTAAAGCTCATTGTTAACTTTAATATTGTAGTCTATAAATATGTACTTATCTTCAAACTTTAATATATTATTTATTTTGTAAGGAAGTTGACTAAAAACCGTATTTTTGGGCGGCTATATTATAACTTTTTAATTTTACCGTATACCCTATTTTTTTCTTTGCACTAATATTGTTACTTGTAATATATCTAATAATAAAGTCTATTGAGGAACTGTTATCGTCAACCTCACATGTAAAAATAAATCAGAATCAAAAAATAATATATGAATTTCAAGTTAATCCTTTAGCTTGGACCCTGGCTTTTAACCTACTTGTACCAGAAAAGGCTAGTTATTAAAAATATTGATAAAGATTTTTATTTTTTTATAATAATTATTATAATAATCCATTTTTCAATAATAAACTTGTTTACTAGGCAGAAAAATTGCAATGTTTTGGGGCCTCCATGTTAAATAGTAAAATATGTCGCGATTGGTAAAAAGTTTTAGTCATTTAGTAGGACTATGTTTATTTTGCACACCTCTTTAAAGACTTTTGATAATTACTAGGAAACAGCTGCCAGAGAGCGACTATAACCTTTTAAAACTTAAAATTTTAGACTGTATGAAACTGCTTAAGCAATCAAAAGTCGTAAAAAGAAATCTTATAGTTGCTGTACAAAGACATTAATTTTATCAATTCTACTTTTTACCGTTTTATTTTCACAGTTGAGCAATTATATGCTTCGTACAGTCCCGTTTCTGTGGCATAACTGCTTAGAAGAACTGCTTGACATTTTTTCAGTCGATGAGGAGTCAACTTGCGATCTTTTAGAGCTGTTAACGGTTCTCAGTGTAATTTCTAATTTTTTTCTCTCGTTACAGTTCTCTTTTAGATTTTTCGAGAAGATTTCAATAAAAGAACCTTAACAAAAGAGCAGAGGTGTACTTATTCAGTTCTTACTTTGGTTTATGATTTATGTTACCAGGAGTCAAATCCACGGCTACTTCACGTTAAAGTTACCCTGGCTTTTTAATTTCATAAAAGAGGTTTTTGTTGTACTGTTATATATTTTATATAACACCGATTGCGCGTGACAGGTTCTTGCATCCACTTTTGGAGCAGAAGCAAAGAAAGAAGCTCTTCACTGTCTTGGCGCGTGGGCAAGTTTTTGTCCCAGCAGGCATCTTGTCTATGTTAATTATATAAACAATATACTGCTAATGCGTGTGTTCACCAGCGATCTTCTGCTCCCAATTAATTGTTTACCTTACGCTTTTGAGTTTCTCTACGTCGAGGATCTCTTACTACCTGCCGTCAACGCCATTGAGACAGTTTTTATACAACCTGACGTAGAAGAGTGAGACTGTCGTTGCGCTCATAATAAGTTGTGGCAACTTTCTTTTGATAGCTACACTAGCGCTTTACTCGAACTTCTTCCGCTATTGACACGCACCCGGACGCTCTATTGCCTTTCCCTTGCCGGTTTCTTGGGATCTATATCATATGCAACGTCACATGCATTGTTTCTTTGCTTATAGACACCGATAAGTGTCTCGCGTTTTGCCGTCTCCTTGTAGCATTTGTGTGCTGCCCGCGTCTTATGGTGATCGCGTACACCCACGAAAGGAGTCGGGAAGTTGTGGTTCAGTTGGTAGACCTGTTCGAAAAGTACTTATCATCAACTTTTGAGCTTATCACTCCGCACTTCAGCTTGACTATATGCTCCTGTGCACGGGTCATCCCATAAACATTGCCCACGAGGAGGTCGCGCCCTTATGTATGATACCACAAACGCATGGAATAGACGCGCTGGCGGGTGTAGGTGAGCCAGCACACACTGGAAGCCTGGTACGACCTGCTCGAAGCTTTCAGCCGCCTGCAGGACATACCCCCACAAATATTCGTACGTCTCTGTTTGCCTCCCCCCCCCCACCCCCCGTGTTGACTTTATAAGCACGGTTTTTTGCATTTTCTTATAATTTGTGCACCATTTATAACTTCACGAGCTCCTCTGCTACTGTCACAAGCTAAAGTTTGTGCTTTAAGAGCGTTCTTTGCCGACTGCTGCATGTAATTGCTGGTAAAGTACAATTGCCCGGTGACAGCGAACTTCTTTTATGGAAGGAAGGTTGTAAATTATTGTGCGTAACCCTCTCCTGAAGTTTATGGAGGCATATTATCAGACGACCACGCTCAGTTTAAAAAGTGCCGATCTTTCTTTGGTCAGACTGTCGGCTATCTCTACTGTTAATTTTTTTCTCTTCTTTTCGCCACTTGTACTTTATTCACTAACAAGGCGCTCTTGGAAAACATTCTTTGCGCGAATTGACCAATATTTACCTATCCGGGCTGGAGTCCAATCATTGGCAGGTGCTTTGTTCTCTATGCCTTAGTTTTCTTTAACTTTTTAAATGCACTGTAAGCAAGTGCATGGTGCTATTTACTGCCTTCGTGCCTTATCCGACTCGTGCGAGGCAACATCGGAAACAGCGCTTGTCATTGGTGCAATACTACTTGTTGGTAAATTTGTTGCTCATCTAAAAGTTTGATGATTAGGCGATTTCTTGTTGAGTCTCACTTCAGTTTTTGAACGCTTCAACGTTTACCTTCAGCAGGAGGCCCTTCTTGCCTGCGGTTCGTATACTCAAGCATCAACACTTGGTTTTGCAAACCTCATCTTACTACCAGGTGCGTTCAGCGAGTGGCTTTTGACCCGTCCTGAGGTCATAAGTAGCGTTGTTAAATATATTATCCTCTGCTTGAACAGCGATGAGATTCTCGCACGATCCGCCTCGCTAGCCTTAAACAATGTTGCAGGTACTGTTTTACTATTTGTTTTGTAATAAAACAAACTCGTTCACTGCGTGAAGAACATTGCTCACCGCTGCTCGTCTCCTTACTTGAGTCGGTAATCGAGCCGGTAATGCACGCCCTTTACCAGCGGAATCATCCTCCTAGCATGTTACGGTTGATCGCCAGTGCCATGGTCCACGTGCTTCACCACCTGGAACAACCCCGTGCAAATGGTCGTACTTTCTTTTTCACTGTTTTTATCGCTTTCATACTGTGATTTTTATTAGGTTTTCTGGTAGTCTTAGTCGGGCCCGCTATAAGATATCTGAAGCTGGATACTCAGCACGTGGAGCAAGTCATGATGATGAAGATGTTAAGCATCATTAAGGTATTATGGGGCTGTCCCTCTATAAAAGTTGCACTAATTTGGCAGTTGCCTTAAGGTCGTTTGCGAAAACTACCGCCCGCTGTTGACCTCGCATGCGTCGGCCGATATCCCCTCCCACACTCTCTGCCAGGAGTTGATTCCGGTCTCCTTTTGCTTTTCTTGCTCTTTTACACCATTCAGAACCAGCAAGTATCTAGCTTCTTGAAGGTTACTGGGGGAGTCGGTTGTCGTACGACCCTGAGTTTCTCGAGGCAAGTATCGGTTGTTTTTTGGCTTATTCTCTTGATGTTCTTTTTCTTCAGTGCATTTGTGGAATAGCGCAGGGACTCGTGGAAAGCATGAGCACACATTTCGCACCTTTTTTGCGCCGCTTAATATCGAGCTCGGTAAGTGCGTGCTATATAGGCTTCCCTTTTTATGTTTATTTTCTTTTTCAGTTTAAGCGCTACAAGGAATCGCCGTCTCACTTCATAGTAAAGGTATACTCTTGCATTCTCCGGACTTTCAAGGACAAGCAGTACGAAAAAGAAATGGTATTATTGTGACACGAGGCACTTCCTCGGCGCTAACTGAGCTGCTCAAAAGTCTGTTTTCTTTTGTGAACTTGCAGAAGTAACTTTTTATGACTTCAAAAAAGACGCGCGAGTAGACCCTGAACTCACCGAGGCCTACTTGAGGCTCGTCACGGAGGTATTGCTATACGCGATAATCGAGCCGCGATATTTTATTGGGCGGTAATGGTGCACTCTTGTATGCGTGACATTCTAACGAGTTTTCCATTAGACATTGCAAAAGGGAAATGGTGACATCGTCTATAGCTCCAACGTGAGAGGGCACGTGTACGACCTTTGTCTGGTTATTCTCCACTACCCCGAGACTAACCTGCTCAAGGCCTCCTGCGCATGCCTCGTACTCCATGTTTTTTTGTGGGTCTGCAATTCATTTTGCTCACGCGGCTGCTTAGACTCAGTTGCTTAAATATGCGAGGAGCGGTCAGTACCAGCACGAGCAGTGTCCCAGAATCGTGCCGGTGCTTCTCGAGGTACAGGCGCTAACCTTGTCCACATACTTCCACTCGTGATTCGCTACCTTGCGCACAGTGTGTTACGGTGCGGGCGCCTAGGACGCTGATGCACCACATCGCAAATCTCTTTCATCAATTGGATCTGGTACTGCCTCGACTAAAACATTTTCAACTGTAAGTTTTTGCAATGAACTGCTGCATAGAATACACTGCAAGGATGCCTAAGAAGTGTACTCGCAGGCTTAACCCCAGCCCACGTGAAAAGGGGAGACGTGGAGATGTTCGCTGCCAGTATCTTAACGTACTGATACTATGTTACTGTATACTTACTACAGCAGAGCTTGTTTATTGGGTTATTATCAGTAAAAAGAATTCCAAGGCGAGTTTAACAAAGCTCTTCTGCAACTACGCAGACCTATGCAGGAGTGTTCCGTAGTGAACATAAGCAAATAAGACGGTAATAAACACTGTTCTACAGTAGATGCTTAATTTGCTTATAAGTGCAAAGCCACGTCGGCTTCAAACTTTAGTAAAAACTCTTCATTACCATATGCCAGCTGATATTAGAAGTAAAGTTAAGCAAGCGCCAACTTATGCTACTTGTGTTGTGTTACTTTAGCGGCTCTTAAGAAAGAGAAGATGGCCCCCGAAAGCTGTTCGTCGAGAGAAAGCGCGTTAATTTTCAGAAGAACCGGTAACAACCTTGTTACTCGCTCGGTTAATCGCTGATCTAAAAAGTCGGCTATCGTAAAAGCAGAGCATTGAGGAATACGCAGGTAGAAAAACCATGCAGGGAAGAAGTCCATTGCAGAACCACTTCGCGCAGCATGCGGCCGTCTATTATTAAGCAAACAAGTAGACAATACGTTACTTCTTTAAAAAAGAAAATATTTAGGAACGCTGCCTGTTTTGCTCAGGAAAGAACAACAAATTTCGCGTGTCAGTTGCCGGACTTCCACTGGTATTTCTGGCCACAAAGTTAATTCCACGAGCTTTAGAAGAATAGGGGAAGGAAGCAAGAAGCAGGACGAGTTTCACCAAGACTTACTGTGAGAGCCCAAAGTAAAAACTTTGCTTGCAATTTGACGGGCGCTGGAATCCTTTGGTAATATTAGAAAGCGCAGCTCTTAGTTATTAGTGAGTGTAAAGCCGAAGAACAGTTACTTGGTCAATGAAGTCGTTAGCGACACTGCCACAGCGAAGGGGAGTCGGGAGAGCCCCTGAAAAGGGCGCACGTCGGTTAACTGAAAACTAAAACACTAAGGAAAGGCCACATGGACGTGCTGAAACGTGCGCCCGGAAAGTTCAAGGAGACAGTCCGTTTCGACTAAGTGCATGAGGGCAGACACTGCTAGCTAAAAGTATTGGTGTACATTATGACAATGAAACGGGGTTTTAAAAAAATAACCTGGGCCACAGCTACTCGTGCTCGCAGTGAAGCGCCGGAATCCAAACCAGATTTCGTTATATATATACGCTGCAGAAAATTTTTTAAGTGACTTCTGCCAAAAAAGATGCTGGTAGTTACAATACTTCTCCAAAAAAAGGCAGACTCTCACACGCAACGTCCTTAGACTGTTCTATTCTTAAGAAAAAGTAGAAAGTTAACAGAGAAAAGTGATAGTAACCCAAGCTAGCATAACCCGAACTTGTGTTTAAAAAAAAAGTGGTCATAATATTAAATACTCCAAATCCTTAAGTGTGGCCCCAAGAAGCGAAGTGAACAAAAACTTGAGAAAAGATTCCACTTCGACGTGCAAGTCGCACTCTAAAAATAATGTTTTGTGCGATAAACAATAAAAAGATGTGCAATAGAAAGCGTTGCTTACTTTTCAAGCGACGAAGCAGAAGATCGAAAGTAAGAGATACGATATCTCTTGACATTTTTCCACTTATAACGCAACTCGAAAGAGAGGCATAAAAATGGGAAGCAATGCACTCCATATTATAAAGTAATGAGATGGCTCTGAGACTAATTAGCACCGGCAGCATAAGTAGGTTTGGAAAAAGTACTTGGATTGGAGTCCACAGGGATACTCGAGAAAAGGGCCGAACTTCGATATACTTCGACAGACACCAGAAGCGTCTTTGCGGCGCACAGTCACGTGGAACAAGGCAGACAGATGAACCTACGCGAACGCTCAGTGCCTGGCGAGATAGCCGTCAACAGCATTTTACTACCGCCACCGTTTGAAAGTAACTATTTTGTGTGCGCTGGCCGAGTGTCAGTAAAAAGTTGAGTATCTTTTCAGTGAACTAAGCAAGCTCTCGAATAGCATAATGTATAAGTAGAAGCACAGGAGGTGGGCTGTACTTGGAGATCTTTGGTGCAAAGGACCCATAAAAGTTTGGGCAAACAAGGCAGGAACCGAGAGAGTAGCTCTCCAAAGCATTCATATCCTAGATGAAATAAATTAAATCTTGAATTTTTTAATAAACGACTGAGTACCAACGCACGAAATAAAAGTTTTTGATAAAAAACAAAATAAAGTTTTTTTCAAAGCGGATCGTTCAGAAAGATTCTCAAAAAATGAAAGTATTGATTTGACACAGGCGAGACGGATGGTATCCCGCACGGACGAAGAACAAATTAGTAACTCAATAACATATAACAGCTCAGGATCAAAACTTTCTTTTTCACTAAAAGTTACTTGCCTTGAAAAAATAACTAAGAACGTAAATCGATAAATATTACGAAAGCATGGCATTTATATAGGCTAGTAAAGCGCTTTCAAAGTGGCATAGTGGGTGCTTTTTACTTTCTTTGTTTATATAAACACGGCAGACTTCTTTAAAAAGAGATCAATAAGTAAAGCACGCAAAAGTAATGTACTGGTCTTTTACCGTATATAGAGATCATGTGTGCGAGGCCAATATTAATCTTTCGTAGATCTTTTAAAGTCTCCGAAGAGCATTGTGAGGTTTTTACACTGTACGGGAAGTGTGACTACTCCGGTTAGAGAGTGAAATAATTCGCGCACACCAAACGAAATACTTACGAAAACGTGGCGTTGAAGAGAGGGAAGGTGCTCAGCTAACGCAAAATTCGAGCGACTGTCCGAAGGAAAATGCTGGCCGCCCCACACGGCGTAGTAACCGGCCCATAACGATTTAAATATCTAACAATAACAATTAGCGCGGTGTAGTACGTTTTCTTAGTACCTTACCTGCACGACAGGCAGAAGGCTGGAGACCTGCTCAGCATCAAGCATACCCTTGCTTTTCCCCAAACTTTCCAACCATACATTCAGTAACGTGTCATAAGTTGAGGCAATAAAGTCACAAATGTCGGAACAGTCCGAAAGTAGACCTTTATTAGAGGACTCGGAAACTGTTTTCAATAAAGTTTATTAAAATAATTATCGTTACTTTTATAATTTATTTTTAATTAGTAAAAAAGGAATTTATAATGACTGATTCGCCTAAAATTAATAAGGGATACCCACGCAAGCTTTGTAAACTGAACGACCAACATGAACAAAAGGTTGGTATGGTTGATCCAGCACACTTTGAACTTCAGAGAGGAAAGTGTTCTCCTTTATACTAAAGGAGGGCGAAATTTCACACTGCTGGAAAAAATACTAAGAAAGTATGCATACTCAATATTGTTAGACACAATCGACCAAAGCAATTCGGAGAGGTTCGCCAGTACACTGCTAGATGCCTTCTCCTGTTTTAACTGGAACTTTCTTAATGCTAAAAGAGCAAAAACATCGTAAAAAAAATACAATAATTAAAAAGTGTCAAATGTATAAAATTACTAGTTAAAGGCTTTCTAAAGATGTTAGAAGATAAAAGCCTAAGAAAGCTGTTCAAAAAGTCGCTGCCGTTGTCAAGTAAAAGACTTCTATGATGCTTGAAGAACAATTTAAAAAAAGCCTTTTAAAAATAACTCTGTAAACGTATATAACCATTAAAGTAATAATTAGCTATACCATTGAATTAAGAGCGATATCGGAACGGATATGTGTCATGGCTTTTTTAAAGTAAACCACGATTAAAGGCCAAAAGGGTTTTATTTGCTAGTCAAAATAAAAATAACAAGTTTTTTAGGTTAAAAACAAACTTCAGACTTCATGAGTGAACCGTTGTACTGGAATTAGTTAATATAAGCTCGATAAGAAACTCAAGAGGCTTTCTTGGTTTTTCGTCACAGTCCGTCATGATCGGAAGAATGCGTTCAAGTATAGGCGCAAGATAAGTCTCTAACGCTTGTGGATATCTATTAAAATATTTAAAGTAATATCAATAAAACATATTTAACATCGAGGGGAAAAAATCAAAAATTATTAAAAACCTTTTAATAAGATCTCTTAACTCTAAAAGCGAATCTTTCCTTACGTTAACATTATGATGCGTAATTTGGGAAAGAAGTTCCTTAATTGTAAGATTCCGCTATAAAAATAAGACTTAAAGAGTATAGAAAAATACAAGTATACTATAGTCCACCTTACTAGTAAATACAAACTGTTTGTTTAGAGTGCAGGACTGAGTAGGAAGTGTGATAGCTTTAGATTTAAATTTTGTGTCAGTGGCATTCTTGGGAATATCCGTTTTTCCCACTTTAGCTCTTTTCTTTTGAAAATCCTTCTGCTTATTTTTACTTCTCTTTGGCATCTCACCAGATTATAGCTTAGTTAAAAGTATAGAGCATCTCGGGGCACTGTTCGTTTGCAGCTCAGTATACGCGTTCTCACGTTGGTTTGCCCCTACAGGCCGGTGTACCTTCAAATTGTTCGGGCTACATTCTTAAAATACCAAACCTTCTAGTTATATGTAACAACTTAAGTTTGGATAATATCGCAATAGAACTTTGATTAACGACAAAAAACACTTAGAACGACAGTTTATGAGATTTTAGCGGTCTTTAGGACTGTTGCAAATTACTTGGTTCCCACAGAAGTATTAAACAAGATTACAACACAAATAAAATAAAATTATGTATTAAAAAATAATAGGAATAGAAAAAATATATAAATATTCTTAAATCTTTATAATTATTAGTGTCATCACATTTGTAGTATCTATTGTTTTTAGAATAACATATATCAACGATTTCATATTTTAATTCTGTCGTTTTAAAATATTTTGTTGTGATTTACTTTTATGTACCCTTTTATATCAACAGAATACTACTCAATGGTTGTACAGGTCGAGATTACTCACCAATCACACCATTGAACCTTTTCTGGAGCCGTACTTCGTCACAAAGAGTGGCAAAACAATTAGTGAAAGGTATATAGCGGTTAGACTAATTTGTAAAATAAACTTCTTGTAAAATTACTAAAAATTAATATGAATGCAATTAACAATAGGCTCCCTTTACGGGGTAGAAAACCATCTAGTTAGGTACATAAACTTAAAATCGTAAATCGCCAGACGACTTTTTTAATAAAATAAATAGTTGTTAACTCAATTTCTTAACTATTGCTGACCTATTTTAAAGGAAGTACATTTAAAAATTCCATTAGCAGTTGCAAAGTAGGCAAGCAAGTTTTTTTTTTCGACTTCTCGAAATCTCGAAAATATAAAGAAAGCAATGAAAAGCTAGGCAACCATAGCCGAACATTAAATATATAAAAATCGCTGATATGTTTTATATGTAATTTTGACGGCATAAATTAAAGAAAAACTCTATTTTCATTAAAAGAGAAAGGTATAAAGGTAGTTCGTTAAACAGAGAAGCTTTTGAGCTTATTGTAAATCTAAAGCAAATAAAAAAGAGCCTAAATTTGTATTATATAAGTTTGATTTACTTGACTATAATATAATAATTCAGAGCTCTGTAGTTAGGTGCCATTGCTTGAAAACAAGAAAAATCTGTGATGAGCAAATCGCCAAAATTTATGGATAATTTGTAGCCAGTGCTTAGCCGCAAGTACAAATAGTGATGAAGATTTTAATTTAAAAATTAGTTGTTTTTACTTAATAAGGACAAGCAAATCATCTTAAGCCTGAGTTGTGACTGCATTGGGCGGGTAAATGTAACACGTGCTCAGTTTTCAAGCAAATAAGTTTGTATGCGTGCTTGTTTTTCGAGGACAAGATATGGGCTTCATTTGAAGCATTTACTAGTTAGTCCTTGTTATGGTTGTTTTTTTTTGGTTGACCATTTTTTTTAATTCTAAAATAATTTTTGCTTTAAAATAGAGAAAAGAGCAGGTTGACGACAGCCTAAAATTTGGGTTTGTCATAGACAATTGTACATTACGTTGTAAATCTTCTATTAACGGACTTTATAAAGTTCAAGAAAATACTAATACTCTTGGTTATTAACTTTTCATTTTGACCTTTTATATTAAAAGTTATTTTATATAAAAATATATGTTCTATTTGTTTATATACCTCAGCCAAAATTTTTAAGAATGCCGTTGATAAATATTCTTACAATAAATGTTTTGGATATCGCACAATTGAAAAAACAGATAAAGAATATGATTCAACACAGAAAACTGGTCTTACCTAAGTAATAAGTTACAATTATATGGTATAATGCCACTATATATTTTTGAAGAAACCGAGAAGCTTACTTTAAGTGAATACAAGTGGTTGACGTACGGGCAAGTTTATGCTAAAGTAATAAATTTCGCTAAAGGTACAAGTTATTATTAAATTAGTTGAATATGTTAATTTCAACCTTAAAATTTTTAAGGCCTTTTGGAAACTTATGATCTCGTGGGTAAGAAGATAGCCATATTTATGGACACTTGTAAAGAGTGGCAAATAGCCGCCTATTCTTGCTACGCTACTAGGATCGGGCACGAAGATTTTATTTATATTTTTTATATTTTGAACTTTATCTTATGTATAGTGTGGTGACTTTTTATGCCAACCTTGGAGAAGAAGCCATCGGCTATGGGCTCCAGCAAACTTCAGTATCTCACCTCGTAACAGAAGGCCGCTTGGTTCCAACGATAAAGAAAATAGCTTCAAAATGCCCAAAGCTGAAACATATTATATATACAACTCATTTGAGTGATCCTTTGGATCTTGAAGACATTACTTTACTACAGTTTGAAGAAATTGAAAAGATGGGTCCTTCACTTTACTGCGAGCGTTTTCTTGCACTTTTTGAATAAATATTATAGGAGAGAAAAGCTCGAAAGTGCTATGCCCGCCGGAACCCGGTGATCTGGCTGTGCTTATGTATACCTCTGGTTCAACGGGACAGCCTAAAGGCGTTAAGATCTCGCACCGACAGGCTGCTTCTGCTACTTACGGGTTTCTATACTATGTGTTGTTAGATAACAATTTAATATATATATATATTGACTCCATAATAAATCGGTTCATCGTACTTTAGGATCGTCAGTTTTTTTGCTGATGGTGCCAGGTTTGTGCCTGAGGATGTTTACATTGCTTACTTACCGCTCGCCCACATCCTCGAATTGGTGGCTGAAATGGCTCTTCTGAGTGTGGGAGCCTCGTTGGGTCTGCCTTAACTCACGCTCTATTTCGCTGTCGTATATTTAATTTAGTGTTAAACAGGCTTTGGTTCACCGAGCACTCTTTCATGCTCCTCACCGAGAATAAAGAGCGGTTCTCAAAGAAAAAATTTTATAACTTCTGTCTCTGGGACATATCGCAACTCGTTGCTTTTTTTTTAAAGGAACCAAAGGAGACCTGGTTGCTTTAAGGCCTACACTAATGGCTGCTGTTCCCGCAATTATGGACAGAATAAGAAAAGTAACTCGCCTCTTGTAAAGCGCTTAGTGATAAATTAATATAGTGATACCGCACTGAAGGGGGTAATGGACCGCTTGGCCGGCTCTTCTTTTCTAGTCCGGTATTTGTTTCAATGGGCGTACAACGCAAGAAAAGCAGCCCGCAAAAGAGGGAAAGATACGCCCTTTTGGAACGCGGTGATCTTCAAAAAGATCAGCGCTTTGCTTGGTGGAAGGATGAGACTGTCGTGCATATTAGTTATGTGTGTATTTCCGCTATAACAACATCTTCATCTAGATGCTTATCGGGGGGCGCTCCACTCTCACAGAAAACTCAGGAATTCATCAATGTGGTGTTTGGGATTCCCGTTTTACAGGGTTTCCGCTTAGCTTCCTATACTTAGAGGATTTTTTTTGGTACCGTTGATGTTCGTACTGAAGGGTACGGCCTCACTGAGACGACTGGCGTGGTCTCTTTAAGTCACCCTCGTGTGAGTTTCCCGCCAAGTGCATCTGTTTACTTTTTACCGCCTTTTTCCGTTTTTCCTGGTTCAGGACAAGAGCTATGGGCGCGTCGGCTGCCCAGTCGCGACAATGGAGATCAAACTGGTCGACTGGGAAGAAGGCGGGTACTTTGTGTCCGATTCCGAACGCGGAACTATCGGCCTTCCTCGAGGCGAGATATGTATAGCAGGAGAAAATCTTTGCGCTGGTATTACAGCGCCTTTTTTTGTTTAAAACTATGCTGTTATTTTTTTTTACGCTCGCAGGCTACTTTGCGGACGACGAAAAAACAAATGAAGATTTTGTGGCGGATCCCACCGGAAAATTGTGGTACTCTTTAGTTATTTGTACGTAACATCCCGCAGTCGTTCGTAGGATCCTCTAGGTTTCACTCTGGCGACATTGGACAGCTTCATCCGGACGGGTGTCTTGAGATTATAGACAGGAAGAAGGACCTGGTAAAGCTGCAAATGGGCGAATATGTTTCTCTGGGCAGAGTGGAAAGCGTTTTGAAATGTTGCCTACACTCATTTTATTTGTTAATTGTGGTTATACTGGTTTCTTATTGAAGGCTCGAAGTACGTGGACAACATTTGCTTATGTGCTAATCCGTATAAAAAGTTCACTGTAGCCGTAATCTGCCCCGTGCGTCTTAAGATTGAACTTTTCGCAACAAACAAGTCTATTGAATACGGCACACTCGAGGAGCTTTACGCAAATAAAGAAGTTAATTTTTTTTATAACTGTTCTTTATTTAGCTCACGCTGTGATTGAAGGTAATTGCTGAAGTTTTGCAATCCCTACAGGAGGAGGCCAAAAAAGCGCAGTTAAAACGCTTCGAAACACCCAGTAGAATCCACTTGACTACGGATCTGTGGACGCCCGAAACAGAGCTGGTCACTACCGCATTAAAGATTAAAAGAAAAGAACTGAACAGTCACTACCGTAAGGAGATCGAAAACATGTACCGTTAAAAAATTAAGCAGAGTTTTTTATATACACGAAATTTAAAATCCAGCATAAGCAAAGAGAATTAAATTGTTTATTGCCAGATTGCTTTCCGTGGCTATTAAATTTTTTTAACTATAGTTAGAAACGTATAAAATAACTTTTTATTAGAAAGAATTTCAGTGTTGAAATGGAAGGAGTGTTTAAACAGATATTGTTTCACTCGGTTGATAAACCCTGAGATTTAACTGACAGCAACGCGTGAAAATACTAGAATTCATATAGTAACGAATGCATTCTAGGCTTCTCCCCTCTTAGTCTTTATAAATATTCGAACTCGATTAATCTGTGGAGTGTAGTAAGAGAGTATTATCAAAAGATAAATTTTAACGTACTAAGCCCCAGGGAGAAAGTGCACAAGGACGTACATCCATGTATATCACAGGCACGCCAAGAGCCTTTTTATAGTAAAAGTATTTTTATAAGAATAAAAAAAAGTATAAAAATTTAGCAAACCACAAATTAGTAAGCAAACCGAAAAGTAAAATAGGCAGTTGTATAAGAAGCACGCAGATTACCTGTTCTTCCTTGAGATCGGAGTAATAGTCTATTACGTACTTCCTTTCGACTCCTTCGCTTTCGATTATCCAATCGTGGCGATCAAACGGCAGCGGCGCCAAGCCAAGAAGGTGAAACAGACGTGCCTTCGGGGTAAAGTCCTTCGCTCGCCCCCGAAATGACTTAAGTTTCGGTTCAGAACTAATAGAGTCGATTTTCGAATGAAAAAAAGTATAATTCAAACCAAAAGCAGTCTTTTATAGACATTTTTTTAAAATATATACTTAAAGTAAAAAACCTAAAACTAAACGGAAGAAAGGTAAATATACTCTATACTCTTTAAAAAAATTTTCATATTCTAAAATTTCCTTCCAGGCTTGTTCATTTAAATGGTTATGTATATACACGGCCGCAGGAACGGCATCTTCAGTAAGTTTTTCATCGGGGGTTATGCTAAAATCCTTTTAAGGGTATATGGTATCAAAGTATAACTGTATAAATAACGTGAATTACCGCTTGAAATTTTTCTTCTTTCTTTTTAGCTGCATTATACCAGCGTTGATCCGAAGGATAAATCTATGAGTTGGCAGCAGGAAATATGGCAAAGACATAAAAAGTAAGAAAGCAATGACATACCCAATATTCCTTGTGAGCACCCGCTTTTGGAATGCTAGAAACAAAGGTTTCTGAGGATAAATTAGGCGTTTCGGGATTCGGAGGAGAATCTACCACTAGAGAGCCGGGCAGGAGCCCTAAACATTTACAAAACCAAAGCTTTTAAAGATGTTTAAAAGACGATTTGAAAAAATCCTTATCTTTAACAGGCTGAATAGGTAAAGTTGGTCCTGAAACACTTTCTTGGGAATTGCTTTTAATAAAGGGACATAACCAAGAATACCCGGAATTTCCTTAGGTTCGCAAGTAAAAGCTGAGTCGGGCGCTAAAAAAAAGAAAAACAGAGAACCTGAAACCGGGCACGAAATATTATGATCTGCTTCCTTTATTAATCCTTTCTCATCGAGCAAACGTTCGGGTAAAGGCGGAGATAATCGAGAACTCGCAGCCCCCATTTTTTAAGAAAGTTGATTAGGAACCACGGCCTCAAAGTAATGGCTGTCGTCGCCTATAAACTTACTAAAGCAGCCCAGTTATTTTTGCACGCCTTCACAGTAGCCGTTCAGCGTGTTGTTTTATACCTCGAGGGGGGAAAAGCGGGCCCCTTGTTTCATAAAGTTATAATGACACTTCAGTTTAATTTAAAATCTTTATTTTGCATATTTTAATTTATTTTGCACGGATATTGCCTCATTAATGCGAGACCAGCGAACCTCAAACGATGTGGTGCAGGCAGGGGGGAGGGGGGTTAAAAATAATTAAGCTTATATGTAGTACCATAGTCCAGAGAAAAGTACCCTTTAGATTTAACAATAAATTAACGTGCTGATCTTCACACCGAAGGCTTCAAATTTTACTTATTTAACCCTTATGCTGGCAAAGCTCTGGGGCTTGAAATAGATTTGTTTTTTTCTGTGAACTCACTTCCTATGTTGAAACTATACTTTAAATTTCAGTATTTGTTTTCATAATTTGATTCTATATTTTTGAAAAGGGGTGGTTGCTAGGTTTATCAGTGACCGTTTAGCTGATAATATATCTGTAACGGTTACTGGTAAGAATATTTGCCATATATATTGTTGTGCAAATTTACCACTTTATAACGTTTTTTTGGTGGCTGCCTAATCTGTTAAAGCATGGTTCTCAAACTTACCAGAGATGGTTTCAGAGACCGGGCCCCCAAAGACCTTGTAATCTCTTCCAGTTATTCGTTTATAACCTCTCGTTGTTAGATTTGTCTTATGCTGATTGTTACTTTCCTTTTTGTGAAGTATTCAGATTGTGGATAAAAATTTTTTTTTTGAAGGAACTTCGTCAATGGTAATAATATTAAATCTTTTATACTTAAATAATGAAGTAAGTTCATTAGTGACGGCATCCAATTATTGTGTTTTGTCTTTCAAACTTTTTGCTTCATCGAAAGTAAGATGGGTTATTGCTAAGTTATCCTCTTTAGTACTTTTAACATTAACTAGTCCTCATGATAAAACCTAAAATTTCTTTTTTTAGTGTTAAGCAAAACTTTATCTAGTTTTGTTCAGGAGGCGATCCTTGGGGATCAGATTCTGAGGTGTTCGAATTGTGTTATCGAAACCTTAATCATCAAACCCCGATTTTGGTAAAAAATGTGAAGTATATTTAGGAGTGTCTAGAGGAGTTAGAATATTTAGAGCATCAGAGTTTGCCTTATCTTCCAGATCAATTGTTTTTTTATTTTGGCTTATTTATTTAGTATTAGGTATAATTTTTCGGTTAATTCAGACTAAGGTAATAGAAGAGGTTTTCTTTTGAATTTATGGTGGTACAAAAGATTTGTGAAGAGAAAAAAAAGGGTCTAAGGTGATTATGATACTGTTTTTTTGTTTCAGGAGCTGTGCATTTTGCAGATGAGATATTGTATTTTTTTTTTTTAATGTTGAGTTCACGTAGAGGACTTGCTGTGTTTTAGGTTCTATATTTTTTTCTTCTGCAAGTGTGTTTTCATTATTCGCCTTAGTTCTTTCATTTTTTGTTATTGCTTACTAAGATTTAAATACCCCCTTTTATATTTTTTGACGTAGTCTCAAATTCGTTAGCATTACTGATGTTTTTTTGTAACGGAATTTGATGTACTACCAAGATCTGGGTATAATTTTTTAGTCCAATATTATCAGTTCCTGGCTAATTGTCTTTGACAAAAAATTATTTTGATAACGGATAACAACCCTTGAGCCAATAATTTTATTGGTACGGGAATTTAGGGTGGTATATTCACCTGTTTGAATCTGTTGGTTTAGAAAGTAGGATTCTCTCTCCGTTGCTCTGTCTTAGATTTCATTTAGTGCTCGGGATTATAAAAATAAATATTTTGCGACCTAAGTGCATATACTTTTTTAGTTAGTAGTTCTAAGGTCCTATAACTCGGTAGGTGGAAGAGTACTGCAGCCTTCCAAAATATTGTTATATTTAAAAACAGCATCCCTGAAGCATTACTCCGATGATTGCTTTAAGATGCGTCTAGTTACTTTGCATAAGGTCTATACGTTCACTTAGCATATACTGAGGTGTATTCCTAGGAACGGTGGCAATAGGATTCCTTCTCTTTCTACTTCACTTTTTAGTATGTCATTAACGTATTCACTACCTTTACCCGTTCTTACTTCCTCGATTATGCATGCAGTGGAAGTTGTATTATTTAGTTTCCTGTTTTTAATATACTTGTTGTGGTAGTTTAGCTAGTCCAACATTTTTATATTATATACCTTCTTTGCTTTAGAGAATAAGGCAACGACAATTTTAAATTTTTTAACAGTACCTAAAACTATACATTGAAAACCATCAAAAAAAGCAGTTATGTTCCATTGCAAAGTATTTACATGGAGTTGTTGACCAGGTTTACGAAGGTAATGTGTTTGGCTTATTTTGTTTACTTTCTTTTTTTTTCATTTTACATTTTGTGCATAGTTCACAGTTATCAGTGGTAAAAGGTTTTACGTTGGGTAGGATATTTTTCAGATATATATAACTTAAGTGCCATTATTTGTAGTGTTCTCCAGGAATTTTTTTTTGTTACCCTCTTCAGATTGTAAAGTATTTACCACCTTGGCATTGCATGTGTTAATCTGGTTTAGTTTATATATCCCGTTAAAATGACTTAACTTTATCATAAATTTTTAATGGCGAACTAGAAAAGCATTTGTATTCTCGTTTATCGTATTTATTGTTGCATTTTCTTCTTTTATATTATTAAGTAATTCCTTGTTGATGATAAATAAATAGGCTGCGGAGTCGTAACTAAATAAACTTTTTCTTTCATGAAACATACCTTTTCGATATGACCAAGTTTATTACAAAAGGTGCATTTACTTTTAAAGAAAGGGCAGTGTTTTCTTTCATGGTTTTTCCCAGAACCTTTGCATATGTAGTCTTAACAATTATTTTTCTGGAACTGCGTTGTTTTATTTAAAGGTTTACGAATTTTTAACTTTGATATTAACAATGTAGTAGTATAGTGGGTCGCCTGTATATTTTTTCTTGTTTCCGCTTGTAGAAGGATATTAACAAGGTAGTTGTAATTTAAGTATGCATGGTTGTTACTAGATTGTTACTCTAAGAATGTTTTTTCATATAAAATTTCCTCCCCGCTTCTGTATATAAGAGCAATAGTTTTGTGAATAGATATTATTTTAGATATGTGGGGAGTTAAATCAGGAATAGATCATTGCTCCTATATTTGTTGACCTTCGTAAATTAAAGACTATTGGCATATTGTTTTGATAATTCGTTTACCCTTTTAAAGATTGTGCACGATTCATGCATAAATAACATAAAACTGGGTAAAGATTCCTGTCCGAAAACATTTTCTATAAATTCAACTGCTTTAACTGGGTGCAATACATTTATCTCTTCAAGTTTGCTCTCTTAACACCCTCGTGTAAACTGCTCATATTGATTGTACCCCAAAAGCTTTTTTTTGCAACTTTTCATGGAAAGGAAGCTTGAGTCCTCCAAAAGTTTCATTGGTAAATAAAAGATCTTGTAAACCGTAGCTAGTTAGGGTAGTTTTAATATCCACAATCCATTGTCGCAGTTTGGAGTAGGTTTCCGTTATAATTAAGAATACCCGCAGAGTGTGGCCTGGCTTTTGAAAATTTTGAATTTTGCCTTATTGCTGTGTAATTATAAAACTAAAGATTTCGTGCTTACAACGTAAAAGGATTTAGAGAAAATATAGAAAAAAAATGAACCAATATATAGTAATATGTAAAAGTATTAATAAAGTATATAAAAAAAATTAAAATTAAAAAAAATAAAGAGACAGAGAGAGATAAATTAGATTAACCGTTGCCATTGTTTATTTATTTACTTTTTTTTTTACTGACATACTACAGTCGATATGCATAGCACAACTTTGCTGCTTACACCTTACTTTCCTCTTAATCTATAAGAGAGGTATGAAGGATTCAACCCGGATTCAGTTCCCCCCGAAGAACCCTCATCAATTTTGCGTACCAGCCCTTGGGCAAGTTAAAAGAAAGAAGTACACAGCAAAGACCAAACAAAAAAAAACCGATTTTATTATCAAGAATATCTAGATTAAAATAAGTAAATAAGATGAGTAAATAATAATAATAATAAATTAAGTAGAGTAATAATATCTAAATATATGATACGCTGCTTTTCTTATATGTATTAATTGGATTATAATAATACTTAAATCGATTAAGCATATTGAAATAATAGTTTATATGGGTTCCTTCACTTTTATATAGGGAATTACTAATCATTAAATAATAACAAAAATAATGTGAAAATTAAATTATGAGTAAACGACAAAATAAATAGGGTGGTAAACCGAGAGCTCAAAGTAAGCGATATTTAGATGTGTTTAGGTCTTTCATATCTGTTATACTGGCCTGGATTATAACCAGCAGCAGTGGCTATATTCACTGGATTCTTTATAGCATTTAGTCTCAATTTTTAAGAACAAGGTCTCGGTTGTTTTCATTTGATAGTCACGTGGTAACTGAGCGGTAAGTATGAACATGGAGCATCTACTATTGTTGAGTTTGTTTTGAAAAATCGGCAGCCTATTTAATAACGCTCAGAGTAGGGCCAACAAACGGTGCATACACCATAATGTGGCAAATAATAAATTTATATAAAAGTAGTTTGTGGTTAAGGGGGATTATCGCGCCTACATAAATGGGATAGACATTCTTGGCAGTTCATGTTTCTCAAGACATACTAATGTGAGTGTTTCAAGTTAGTGTATGATCTATAATAACTCCTAAGTACTCAACACTGGAGAACTCCACGGAACAGCAGTTTTAAATATGTGCAGAGTTTTGGCGCTTTTGAATACTGATCCTTCTTGAACTTATCATTGCTGCACTCTTAGAAGCATTGATTGTTATCTCCCAAAATAGTAAACTAGGTTTCCAGAGAGTACAAAT